ACTTTGAAAATATAAAAAACACTATAGCCTTATTCCTAAATTAAGATTCTACTTAGCCTGATTTTACAACATCAACAACAGTGACCACAAAAGCTGAATGGTGGTAGGAGCTGTTTTGAGCAGGCAAAATGGAGGGCAGCCTGATAGAGGCAGATCAAGAGGAGAAGCCCATATCTAACGCTCCACATTGTTAAATGGCTTTATGTTCGCTTAAGATTATTCATCTTGAATTTGACTCCAAGGAGAGTTAACCTTATCTAAATCACTGGCCCAAAGCTAATGAATCGTGTCTTCAAGCTGTCTCTTCTTTTATTTTATTACAATGAGACACAAAATAAAATCTTGTATCAGAACAAGTTGGCAGTGACATCAATTTTCTCCATGGGTAGTGTTATGCCAGCAAGCCTTGGAACAGAGGAGAGAACAGGTCGTGAGAGTCAGAGCAACTCAGCCTGTCCCCACTGCAGTTAGCGTAACCCAGGTGGCACTTGTCTTTGGAATGCTATGGTGGGGTCGGGATCAGCATCTACTTCTTCATAAGAGGTCTGCAAAGTGCTTTAGACTATTTAATTGTGTCTAAGGAGTAAAAATAATAACCAGGGAGACCATGAATGAAATATGGTAAAAAACTACAGTGCTTTGAATGTTATATAAACATATTCAGTTAAGGTAGATGAATGCATTACTGACACGCCATACTAATTGAATACACTCTCATTTTTAAGGCGTTTAAATATTACGTCACACTATGTATCTAGTTATTTGCGTATTGGGCAGGGTTAAAATGTTTTTGGTTTATTAGGAAAATATTCTAAAAATCAGCTAAGGAGTTGAAAACGGATACTAGGCAGATGTAGCTCAGTGTATATGTTTCAAAATTCTCACCTGGGATAACTGGAGCGGCGACTCTGTAAGAGAAGTTTTCACCTTGCTCTGAAATATCACTTGCAGTCATTATTTTGTCTTACTGTTTCTCTCGCCGGTCTCCCCTTATAAATAATGAGAGCACTTTGCAGTGAGGATTCTGTGGGGGAGCAGTAACAACTGAGTTAGTCTTAGTGACAGGTAGCTATTTTTTCTTTTTTGCTACCAGAGTTGAGCATAAAATTAATTCACTTCTTTTTTTGTTATGCACAAGGATGATGCTATTCATCACCTTTTTAAAAAATTCCTCCTTTCTTTATTCCCTCCCTCCCTAGCTTCCTTTTTTCCTGCCTTTACAGGTTCAAGAGTCAAGATCTTTTCATAAGCAGAAAAAAAATGCGTATTTGCTAGAGATACCTGAAATGTACTCTATTGAACTTTTATAGTGAAAAAGAATAAGAGGAATTATGTATAGTCTGTATAGAAAAGACTGCATTCCTGAACATGGAAGAAACAAATGCAAGTTTATTGCATCCCCAATAGAAATGTGAGGAATGAAATAGTTTTTAAAATATTTATTTGATATCATTATTTATACTTTTTACTTAAAGCAACATAGCAACAACCTTTAAATAACTGGCTGGTATGCCATATTAGGAGAAATAAAAATACAACATTCAAGATCAAAATGAAAGAAAATGAAAGCAAAGAAAACCTAAAGCATCATGCAAAGAGAAGCACATGACTAAAAAAGCTAAAGATAAATGCATGACTTCTGCTTGTTTTTGGACCACAAATTGTGTCTACAGTACTGCTAATCCATACTTGTAATTGTGAATTCAGTGGCTCATCTGAACACATAGATGTGCTTTAGGAATCTGGATCACTAGTTTTGTTTTTTTTAATCAGGTTAGGATTTTGTAAGTTAAATGGTCATCTATGCAGTAATATGACATGGCTTTTGACATTGATAGTTTTGCACTAATAAGGAAATGTTGTACTGAAAAATCTTATTCTGTGTTTGTCTTTTTTTTTTTTTTTTTTTTTACTGCTAACCAACAATGATGGGAAAATGTTTTAGTAAGTATAGAAAAACCTTTAGGTAGGGGTTTGCCCAGTGGTAAATATGCACGATTTCTCTACCTAATCTAAGGTTTATCCCTGTGTTTTAATACAGCTATAGACCACAGAATGTAAACATTATTATGATTTCCCCCGTGCATGTAAATAGTATTATGGTTTGAGACCTGCAAAGCACACAATCAGAGATTTTCTTTTAGAAGACTCTCATCTAAAATTCTATCATTATTTGTAATGTATTTCTACTTTGGGGCTGAATGCATACTTGTACGTAAGTAAGTAATTGATTTAGGAGCAACTTGGCAAGAAAGTGGAAACATGTTTATTAAACAAGTGGTAACCACAAAATCTATCCTCCATTTTTAAAGAACTGAAGAAAATAATAAATTATTTCTTAGCCCTTAAAGATCAGAAATCACATGCAAATAAAGTGTTTCCAAGCAAGAGGCTCCTCCCCACGCTGCACCCGGGTTGCATTTTTCTGGGAGCATCTCTCACGGTGCAGATGCATGGCTGTTAGTCTATGTCCTCTGACCTCCTCCAGGGTGAGAGCTCTGCGTTCCTTCTCCATGCCATTCATACAGGAAACACGAGTCTGATACCCAGCACGTGCACGCTAAGGGTAAAAACACAGCTGGAAGAATGACAAAGAGTATCGCTCCGCTCTCACCCTCCAATCCCCTGCTCACTCTTCCCAGCCATAGAGCCTCAGCATATTTTCGATACCTGGGGAATCTATCATTGCCCTCAAATTATTGCAGGTACTGTTTCCTTGCCCATAGCACATCTATAATTCCATCTCTCCAAAGCTGAACTTTCTTTATGGCTCGTGTGCCTCCCTGACTGCTGGCTATTTCACAAGTACAACCACTCACGCTGTTTATCTCCTTACGCTGACCTTGCTGTGCACCACGCATCTTAGCCCTCTGTACATTGTTTTGACTCACTCTGTCACCACACTGTTTCCAGGACTGCTTTTGCACAATAGAGCTCCAAGTAGCACTGTCCAATAGAAAGTCCTGTAAGGAATTGTTTTGTAGTCCACCTGCCTGGCACAGTAGCTTCTGGCCACTGTGAGTAGCTATCGGGCACTTGAAATGCTGCTAGAGTAACTGTAGATTTAAATTTTTGGTTTCTAAAAAGTTTTAGTTAATTGACCTTTAAATTTCAGTAATCACATGGTGAGTGGCTACTGTATTGGATAGCAGAATTGTCAATCATATTGCATAGGGCTTAGCGTGTATTCTAAGTAGTAATATCAAGCTGTAACCAAGAAAAACATGTTGCTTTGAAAGGATTCTTATAAAAAAAGTTGGCAAGATTAAATTCACAATAAAAATAGAAGGATACATCAGTAAATGCATTGGGAGATGTAATGCGCTGATTTGAAACAGGAGGGAAATCAGGTACAACAGAAACAAATGAACTACGGAGAGTTAAAGGTGCAAAAATCCAGACTAGTCCTGATACTAGACAGTCAGAAAAAGGGTCGTTATGTGCACCAGATTGATCATTTCTTCTCAAAACTCAGAGTATGAGTTGAATTAAAAAATTGAAGATTAGAATGAACAAAAAGCAAGAGATTTAATTCAATTACATTCTATTAACAAGATTTCATGAAAATGCTTTCTTTGGTATAAGTTAGATATTCTGATAATATGCTGTTATATTTGAGACTAATTGTATTGACTATTGAGCTGTTTGAATTTCATTGTGCTATCATTTGAAATAGCCCACAACTACGTGGTTAGGGGCATTTTTTTCTTCTGTAACTTAGCTCTTGATAAACTATTTTTTTCTACATTTTAAAATCTAGTTACATGCTGATTTCAACTACGTTTTTGCCATTTCTGTGAGAAAGAGTTGTAATTTCTTTTATTTATTTAATACATATTTATTGAATGCTGTCTGTGGGTCAGATAATGTTGCAAACTTTGGGAATAATCTGGTAAGTGAGCCAAATATATTTATCGCCCTCATGGAACTTAAATGTAGCAAAAACAAAACAAAACAATATTTGGTGAATGAATGTTAAAAAACATTAAAAATATCAGGTGATAATGCCACGCTAAGGAAAATGGTTCTGACTATGCCCAGAAAACATCTCAGTCAGAACTAGATGGGGGAGACCAAACTCAGTGGCTTCAGGGATGAGGCTTGCTTTTAGTTGACCTTTGGAGGGTCGCTGAGGCCGGTCTCTGAGGGTTCAGGAAAATCTGGGGTGGTGGAGGATATGTCAAAAAGTGTTGAAGGTGAGAGAAATAACACAAAGTCTGCATTATAGAAATGAGCATGGAAGAAGATGAGGAGCCAAATCTAGGTTGAATGGAGAATAATTATAAAACCATGAAACTCTCTTCTGAGCTAGACAGCTTAAGCAGTGCAGGAGGGAGAAGGTACGCAGTCTGAAGCGATACTGGGACACTGGGGAGGGTGGGCCAGGATAGATCCAGAGCGCAAGTCAGGCATTGTTGGAGGAGAGGCCTGGATTTGCAAGTCATCAGCACCTAATGCTACTTGAGCCCATGACAGTGGCTCAAGGTATAGAGGAGAGAAAATAACTAGGATAAAACAGGCGACAAAGTGTAGAGCCTCAGGGAGAAAAACAGTAAATAATTGTAAAAAAAAGTAGTGTGCGAGGTAACTTAGTAGAAGCCAAAGTAGCTGTGTTTGGAAATGATGGAAAAATCAAGAAGTGATAATATGTTATGAAAACTGAGAACTGATTTATAGTCCCTGAATATTACCGAAAAGAAAATTTACCAGAAGAACAGATGCCAAAGGCAAAGATGAAATAAGGAAATAAATAAGACAGGTGAGCAGGATGAGAAAAATACAACTCTGAGGAGAGGTCAGTGCTGGCTAGGGAGGAGCTGTTATCATAGACGATGCAGGACCTAGCAGGTGAGTTAGTTTTCGAGTTTTTAAAGATGAGGAAACCTCAGGAAGTTTTCCAGGAGCAAAACGAGGAGTTTTTGTTGCTCTTTGAAAAGGAGCAGCTCATGGTTTTGGGCTTGTTTGTTCTGAGTTCCAACCCTCTCTGCTGTCTATTCCAGTGAGTCCCTTTCCCAGGAGACCCTGAAGAAAGCGAAGGAGATTGGCTTCTCAGACAAGCAGATCGCAAAATGCCTAGGACTGACTGAGGCCCAGATGAGGGAGCTGAGACTGAAGAAAGGCATCCGCCCTTGGGTTAAACAGGTGAGAGAGGTCCCCATTCTACCCTGGGTGTCTGTGATGAAATACAGGGACCAGCTCCCCATACCATTCTCAATGCAGAGAAAGCCATATTGAGAAACAGAGCCTGCTTGTGTGACTGATGCTCGTGATGTCATCAGCTTTATTTAGTACAGGGATGATTTATGCCTAAAAGGGAAGGAAGTAGTTTGGGCACAAGACTGTCAAAATATGAACAGATACCGGATTTTCCTAAATCACAGAAGAAAAAAATCAAAATGACTTGTCCTTTGTTTTTTGACCTGTGTCTAAATATATTTGTAATATGAGAAACTGTTAGTGTGATATTAAAAGGACTCAAAATACCCTAGCATGATGGTGAGTCTCTTGAAAATAATAGTTATCTCCATTGGTACTTAGATTTTACAGGGCAATACTTTATTTTAAGTGCTCCATCATTATGGTTCATTTAGTATTCATTGTGATAGGGCCAGGCTTAATGAGGTCATCTCGTATTCATGACAATCACACAGGAATGTTCACAGGTGTATGTGCTTCTTTTTTTTCTTTTGGCTTTTAATGGAAGGAGTATCTTGGTTTAAAGTACCACCAGCTGCTTTTTGTCCTTTACAAGCATTGGCTTTTCTCTGTTTGCTTGGGGGGTGGTGGTGGCACATAGATACACTTAGGTCCCAAGCTTGGTGTTAAATATTTTCTATTCAGCAATTATTAGCTTTCTTCCTGCTCACCTGTCTTATCCTAGCTTGCCCTGTTGGCCTCAAATTCCTGCTCACTAAGCTGAGCTCTTTGGCCCTGAGAGCAGAATTGATTTACTTTTCATAAGTGTGTTCAATGAGATTCTGTTCTCCACCCTCTGCTTATGGTTTATGGTATTTATGTGATCTCATTTCTTACAGGCTTCAGTGAATTCCATCTTGTGTGTTAATTTGTAAAACAAATACATCTTTATGCATAGGTCACTCTACTCTGATTTTAGATCTCATACACCTGCTTTAGATAGCTGGTTAAGTTAGTTTTCCTGGTAACTAGTGGACCCTATGGTCATCTCATCCTGTTTAAGGTAGGTAGTGATTCAGCAGTGCTCTGGGGGTCTGTGTGACTATTTATCACTGAAGTGATAACTAGATCGAATTATTTCTGTCTTCCTTTATTCCCCGAATTAGAAAGCAATTAGATCACACGTAGCTTTTCCTGTCTTTATGGTTGACAGTACTAGATATCAAGGAAGTATGAAACCAGCATGAAAACCCCACAGTCTTAAAAATTATAACATAGTAAGAGAATAAAATAGATAACTGGTTTTCTTTTGCAGATTGATACACTGGCTGCAGAATACCCATCTGTAACAAATTACCTGTATGTGACCTACAATGGTCAGGTAGGAACTGCCAAATTGTCTTTTCCAGAAATCTCTACGTTTAATAACTGAACCATATCAAGGAACACATATTTTTCTATCTTTGATTATCTAGTGATCTTGGTAATAAAAATGACTTCATGTAGGTCAGGTGCAGGGATATGTTTCTAGCCTCATTTTTAAAGAACTACTTTAAGATATTGAAATCAACCTAGTAAAATATAGGCATAATAATTCCATGAGGGTAAAATTATGCTGCGATCTCATGACTGTTTAATTTGCTACTACTGAGTTAAATCTAATTTTTACAAGTAAATAAAGCTTGTATAATATTTTTTTACTGGTGGATTCCCAGAGTTAAGAGCATGCTTGTGAACAAAAGCAAGAATGAAAATACACATTTACATACAAGACAATTAGTTTAATGAAATGGAAGGATAAGATAATAATTTCCACATTTTCTGATTTTTTTCCACCCCAGGAGCATGATATCAATTTTGACGAGCATGGAATGATGGTGCTGGGCTGTGGTCCTTATCACATTGGTAACATGATGACTTCTATTTATATTGGACCCACAATTCATATTTGTATAAACGTTGATTCATTTTTGTTTTCAGAAAGATGTGAAAAAATGCTATCACAATAAATGGCTTGCCAGTTAGGAAGCTGAGGTTCAGAGAGCTAAAACCCAAACTTGTGTAGCTATGTAGTGGTAACAGTGAAACTTAAACACAGATCTCAACTACAAATTCAACTTCATCTCACCATATCTTTTTGTCCTTATTTAGTGACTCAGGTCTTGAACTGGTGTTGGAGACTGGAATAGACTTCAATTTTACCTCTTCTAACACAGTTCCTTATAAGGTTCTAAATTTATGAAATGACTTTATTGTAGATATTAACTCTGACCCTCTATGAGTCTTCTGTTTACATCAAATGCAGAGAGTTTGTTTCACTGACAGGTAGAGTAACACCATCTAATTAAAATACACTCAGCTATAATTGTGATGTTCCCTCTCAAATCAATTAAAATTAGATGCTTAGTAATCACTCAGATCTGTTATGGTTTCCAGGTGTACATTAAATTAATAGTGATATTAGTAAACAAGAACACTTATATTTAGTTATTAAAAAGCAATCTAATAGGGAAATGGTAAAATATATGATTTAGGAGTCTTCCTCTGTTTCTTTGAGCATGAACAGTTTGAGTTTTTGAGTTTTTACAATTAACTGGGTGCCTCAAGATCACCAGTTTTAACAAGTCTTTTTTTTTTTTTTGGTCTTTTTCCTTTTTATCGGTACCGGGGATTGAACTCACAACTGCCTGCTTGCAAGGCAGGTGCTTATGCCGCTGAGCTAAATCCCCAGCCCAACAAGTCTTAAAGTAGGACAAAAGCATCATTTTTACTGCTTTAATTATTATCTTGGTCCATTTCTGCTACTATAACAAAATGCTTGAGGCTAGGTTAATTTATAAAGTCCCAAAACATATCTCACAGTTCTGAAAGATAGAAAATCCAAGACCAAAAGATCAGCAACTTCATTTATCTGGGGAGGGCTTGGTATTTCCCTCTAAGATTACATCTTGAGCCCTCTATTCTCTGGCAAGAAGGAATACTGTATCCTCACCAGCAGAAAGCAGAAAGTAACAAAGGAACCAAACTCTCTCCCACGACCTTTTATTTTGCCAATGATCTTTCGACAAGGGCTTTGCTCTTGAAAGACTCACCTCACAGTAATGTTTCATCAGGGTTAACTTTCCACCACATGAATCTGAATCCTGACTCAATCAGACCATAGCAGTCATTTTACGGTTTAAATATCTTATCAGCATATATTCTCTTCTCTAGATCTTTTTTCATATCATCAGTTTTACCTGATTTATGCAGTGATGCTGTATTACTTTAGGATACAGAACAGACTAGCAGAGCTGTTAATCCAGTGTATGTTTACTTGATAGTGAGAATTAACATGCTACTACATTTGGATGCCATTTTTTAAAGCCACATTTAAGTACTAGAACTTTTCGTTCTATTGCACCCAGCAAAGGTGATATTTTGAGGCATTTGGATCATTGTTATACTCCATATTATTCGTAGAAGGTTACTCAGGCTGCATAGGATGGCCTCTCAGGTTTAAAGGGATATGCATAGAAAGGATAGATCTTTCCCATCAATAAAGACATGTCAGAGACAGAAAGCACTTTAGGGATCAGGGTTCCACTCTTAAATGGCAGGCTAAGTGAAAAGATTGAAAGAATTCAAGTAATCTGATCACTGGCTTACCTCTTCAGGAATTGAGGTCACTGTGTTCACTTTGAATTTCTTTTCTGCTAACTAGGTTTATTGTTAACATTAAAATCATCCCCCATTACCATTGTTTTCTAAATGCTTCAAATACAGAGAATATCTACTGCAGAATATAGAGCAGGAAAAAAGCCAATATTTCATCATGAGTTAGAACTTGTTTTTGTCATCATTAATACAATGTCTCATAGGTCTGAAATTTATAATTTGAAGTTTTAAATTTTGAACTTAGAGGCTTTTGCTTCCTCTTCCTGGACGGACCGGTGGTGTGTATTTTCTCTGCTTTCCTTTGCGTTGTAACTTCATGCTTTTCTTACAGCCACGTTCCCAATCTCACTGTCTCTGCAGGCAGCAGCGTGGAATTTGATTGGTGTGCTGTCTCCAGCATCCGTACACTGCGTCAACTTGGCAAGAAGACAGTGGTGGTCAATTGCAACCCTGAGACCGTGAGCACCGACTTTGACGAGTGTGACAAACTGTACTTTGAAGAGCTGTCTTTGGAGAGAATCCTGGACATCTACCATCAGGAGGTAAAAGAAGAAACATATATGCAGCAGACACTTTAGACCTATCTCCATTCATGTATGTAGATTTATATGGTAGTTCTCCTCTGGAGAAAAAGCTTCCAGCACATTCTACTGCTTAAGGCTATACTGACCTCTAAAAAACAAATGAACCAACAAGAAGAAGAAAGAAAGAAAGGAAGGGAGAGAGAAAGAAAGGAAGGAGGAAAGAAAGAAAAATAAAAATCATTCTAGTTTTATAATCTTGAGGATCTGACCTAGAGTGATTATTTTTGTATAAAAGTCCCATTTTCTTTCCAAGCATTAGACTCTATTTGGTAACGTGTACCAGCTAGCTATTAACTAGAGCAAGATGACCTCTCTAAAATCTTGCACAAGGATTGAATTGGTCACCTAGAGATTTAATAAACAGCCTCTTCCTTGTTCTTGTGACATGGTTTAATGATCCATATTCCCAGAGAAATAAGTTGCTCACCAAGGACCGGTTAATTCCTTGTTCCATCAGATGAAGCTGTTTGTCCTCAGCTCAGGATCAATGAGTCCATTCTGAATGATTTTCGTTCCTTTGTGGCCTCATCGTACCCTTGTTCCTCCAACCCCACACAGATACTGAGTGTAGCTCCACTGTGGATTTCAGTGATTGCAGGTTGTTGTAAATCTATGCAACAATTAAAAAGTAACTACTGAAAAGTTCTAGAGTAATTTCCAATAATTTGATGTTATTATAGTCAATTTCTAATAAAAGGAATCATCTTTGTATGTAGAATAGAATTATATGGGGGAAAATGAACTGAATTGAAGCAACAAAATTCAATTTTAGATTCAACCTGGTATTTATTGTTTTATCTTCTTTTAGTTAGTGAATCACATGAATGTGAAATTATGCTAGGTGTACGAACTACGATGGTCACGTGGAATTTATGGTTGAAATAATACTTTAAGACATATAGTGCTAGAATAATGTTATGGTTTTATCCTTATGAAGAGGTATAGTTATTGATTTAGGCATGGTATAGTTATTGATTTAGGCCTGGTGTACTAATCTTAATATAATACAATATGATATGATTCAATAGGTTGAAAATATTCTTTTGCATTCTTCTAACAGCTTTTTAATGACTCCTTAATATTCATTTGTTATATAAGGGTGGCCATGAAAACAAGTGCATTCTACAAATATTTCTTGAGCCCCGTGTAAATGCTAAGTTCAGAGGGATAGATGTCTATAAGACTAGCTAAGACATAAAACTGAGATTCATGATATGAATATATGAAAAAACCAAGTACTTGCTTTAAAAATATTCAGAAGCATTGGCGGTAACAGCGGCAGCCATCTTACAGATTATTTCCCTGTGAATAATTACAGGCAAAAAAGAGACAGCTTTTGGATATATTAGTGAGATTCTTTAAATATAAATGAAATACCATAGAAGAAGTAAGCTGGCCTTTCTCTGAAACTGACATTTAGAACAGTATGTATGATGAGGTCCAAATGTTATTTGTGTTTAAGAACATATGCATGATGTTCCACTGGTGTGGTCTTTAAATTGTCCCACGGGAACTGTTCCGGGCACACCCCTACACACATGCACATGGCTCTGTGTTTCCTTTAGGAGGTGGTTGTGCATCTATCTCCACAGAGCAGACTCTGTTAACACTATTCTGTGGCCTCTCCTCAGAAGGGTGCCTGCCCCTGCAGGAAGCTGCCTTCTGGCCTGGTTGCCCTTAGGGTGCTGAAGGCTCTGAGGTGGTCAGTAGCAAAAGCACCCGTCTATGTCACTTAGAATAGCATTACCTGGCCCCATGGGACAATGTAATGTATGCTGGATCTGCTAATCTGGGTTTCTTGGTCTAGTTCTGGGCCAAGGCTGTTTCCATGGCAACCTCTGAAGAAAACAGAGGGGAAAGTCAGAGACAAGACTCTCCAGGTGGGTAAGGCAGGAAGAGGTCTTCAGCAGAGGTAGAGTGAGGATTACTCAAGCCATCTTCCCATTTGCTTCACTTTTTAAAAAATAAAATGTGATAGCAACATCATTTCTGGCTATTAGGCATCACATACTATGCCTTATGTTTTTGTTTGTTTGCTTGCTTTTTTTGGTGTGTGGAGAAGGGTCAGTTAGTGTCTGCCATCTACTGGGCTCCGAGATAATAATTTTGCTTCAGATGCTCCTTACAGAGCAAACAGGTGTTCTCAAAGTGTTCCAAGGTGAATGGCTTGAAATGACTACATTGTTCACAGAGTTGCCGCTCTGTGTTCCTCTTTTCCTTTATGTGTTTGCTGGTGATCTATTATTCAATTATCTTTACAGGCTATAGTATGAATATAGATCATAAGGGTCTAGTTTCAAATATAGATTTCCCCTGGGTTTCTTTGGAGGTTCATGGTTTGAAAAGTTAAGTGAGCAAACATTAATTTTCTTCTGTATCCAGTCCTCATTTAGGGCTTGTTTCTCAATTCTTTTTGTACTTGTTAATTAAAAAGCAGATTTGAGCAGAGGGAGTGTTACACAGCTATGGTCCCAGCTCCTTGGGAAGTTGAGGCAGGAGGTCACTTGAGTCTAGGAGTTTAAAGTCATCTGGGAAATACAGTGAGATACCATATCAAAAACAATAGTAAAGGAAAAAAAAAACACAACAAAACCAAAACCCAGATTTGGTTTAAAAATACCAAACAACATACCCAAGCAATATTTTTATTGGTGTCCCTGTGTAGTTTGAATCCTGTTTTAATATTCTTTTCTTGTTTTTTTTCAATGCAATACTTTGCTGGAATGTATCTCATAAAAATATACTCTGCTTAATGATTTAAATGTCCTAATATATACGTGTATTATATGTACAGATGTATATATGTATATGTGTGCATATGCCTATATATGTAAACACATGTATACTATATATGTTTACATGCATATAGATATATATAATTAGACAGTGGTACATCCATATCACAAGGGGAGAAGCTGGTGTATTAATTACAGACATAGTGACAAGCAAACTCACTAGAGAAAACATGTCTTTAAACAGAATTGGGGTTCATTTTTTGTCATATGTGTTTTAATCATGATTAAATATAATCCTAAATTTCTACCTAGAATTTAAACATGAACTACTAAAGTTCAAATTACAATAATATAATACATGACCCTTCTCATTGGCAGATGGAATTTTGTAAATTGGAGACTACCCGTGTAATTGCAAAAATCAGGACCATTTTTAATGAAGCAAATGCTATTTATATTAGTAAGATAAATTTTTCTCACATCTCACTTTACATAAAATATACCACTTAATCAGGGCTAACCAAAATGATCAGTGCCTATGCGAAATTAAGATGATCTGAAATAAATTTGAAGCATATTCTTTTAATCCTTTAGTGTGCAACATAAATTTCTGGTGTGACTGCAGCCTACATATTGTTTCAGAAATATTCCTGTACTATCTCAATGACATTAGGCTTAAAAAACAGGCAACGAAGATGACAAAAATGGTACAGAAACAAGAATGTAGCTCAATGGTGATTGCATGTGTGCCATGCTTGAAGCCCTACCACAGAAAAGTATACATATACCATATGATTTTTATTGAAGTCTTCCATGAAGCTGTGCAACATTAACTTCATTTAGCAAGTATGTTCTCGTGTTGAGTCCCTTTTTCTGTGTGAGCAGAGCCTGTACTACAGCATTGCAGCCTTCCTCTCTACCATCCCCATGGGCATGATTTATCTGCCTAGTGATGATCTATGTATCTAGAAATCAATGATGAGAATTCGACTTTTCCAAAAGAACGTTTTATAAGTAAATAGTACATTTCTTATCTTCCGATAGTAGCCGCTGCAGAAAATAGTTGTAAAAGTAGAGTTCGCCTGTGATTTGCATACTGGGTGTATAATTTGACCATATGTAACTATTGTATTTATTACTTGACCATAGATGTTTTACAATCTGTAGGATTAAATTATAGAGATTCGAGCTCAGTTCCAGACTCGAGCTCTTTATGTGCTAGGTAGAAGATATAGGCAAATCAGTTTATCTGTTTTTGTAGTTGTAGATTGGATTTAGAATAACCAAAGGTTATCAGAGGTATACTATGAAGATCAAAATATAGTCCAGAATCCATAGCAAATTCCTCAATAAAGGGTTGCATCTATTATTCTTGTCTTGAAAGTTATTATTTTCTTGGAAAATACAATTCAATTTAAAAGAGCTACTTCAAAAAATATTGACATGTTTATTAAAAAGGCTTATGATTCAACTTTAAACTCCTCTTAAGTCTGTGACTTCAGCTTTTCCTACTTCTCTTTTAATTTTCAAAAATTATTTTGAAGTCTTTCATAAAAGACTTTTTGTATACATTTATTTGTATTTGTTTTTAAGCCCCTGCAACATTGACAACACTGCTAATAAACCAAAGATAATAAGCAAAAATATTATAGTACAGAGATTGATTCTTCTTAAAGAATTTGCAAAAAATGTATATAAAATATGTTTTAAAATGATGATGAACGTACTGAAGCACATTTACAGATGTACAGGCTGGTGTATTATTATTTTGGCACTGTTTACAATGCCTTTAAGAAGTTAATTTCGGGATGTTTAGGTAGTACTGTAATTGCTTTCATTAGGGAGAAATTAGCTTCATACCTTTTAAGAATATTTCAGAACAATCTGAAGTAGTGATAAAATATACTTGGCACATTGTCTCTCATTTTGGAAACTCCACTGATATTCATTAGTGGGTCATTAGGGCAAGCACAAATTATGCCAAGTTTAATGGACTATTAGATTTAGTGTTTTTGACAGTAATAATCATGTCTTATTCATAAGCTCACAGCATATGTAAGATTTTTAGTGTTTATTATCTTAATATTTACTGTCTTATTCTGTCTACACAGCCATTATGTGCCCTGGGAAAGCATGATTATGCTGCTTTTGTAGGGAGAAAGACAGGATCTCTGGGTTTGTACACAGGTTGGGGAACTGTGTTACTTTTATCTTGAAGTTTTGACGGCTGATAGGAGATTTGGTTTTAAATAACGAAATCTTATACCAATCACACATCTGAATTAAGGTTAAAGATTCACTCACTGCTTGTGAAGCGAGTAGGAAATCAGTTCCTGAGTACTGTGGGCAAATGCCAAGGTGACAGAGGAGCGAGTGGTGGTCAGGGCAGGGGATGGGCTGAGCTTGGTGGTGGTTAGAGGCTGGATAAGTGAGAAGAGAGAGCTGGAAGGGAGCAGCAGCCCCAGGAGTTCTGGTGGCTCAGTTTGCTAATGAGGATGCAGTGGGTGGGGGTAATGAATAGTCGTCTCTCTTGGGCGGAGCAGGATGATGGTGGATAAGATTGCAAAGGCTTACCTTAGCAGAAGTGAAGGAATTTATACTTCATTCTCACTATTTACCTGGGGAAAACTGCGTGCACCAGTACTTTGGTTCAGCAGTCCTGTAAAAGGTGAAGAAACTGCTGGTTTTAAAGGTGTAGGACATGTGAGTGTTGGAAGGAGAAATCAGTAGCCCTTTAAGAAGGATGAGTGTGATCCAGGAGGTGCTGATCAAAGCTTGGCGTCCATGACACCTGCTTACCAGCTTGAGTTTTTAAACTGCTGCCATGAGGGTGTCTCAGGTGACAGTCATGTGTAGATTTGTAGAAGTCTGGCCTAGGCTTTAGCCTGGAACGATCAAGGAGCTAAACTTATTTATCTCTTTTTGTGCTCTAAGTTCACACTGTGCCTTGAGAAGAGAGATGAAGTTCGAGCCAGCGGGTGCAGCATTTGCAGTGAGGAAAGGAAGAGTGGAAATGTTTGCACGGTTGCCCATCACTATGGAGCCACTCTGGTGGCTGACACTATCCTTGTCTTTTCCAGGCATGCAGTGGCTGCATCATCTCAGTTGGCGGTCAGATTCCAAACAACCTGGCGGTCCCTCTGTACAGGAATGGTGTCAGGATCATGGGGACCAGCCCGATGCAGATCGACAGGGCCGAGGACCGGTCCATGTTCTCAGCTGTCTTGGATGAGCTGAAGGTGGCCCAGGCACCGTGGAAAGCTGTTAACACTTTGGTACGGAGAGAGACCAGTGTGTCTCTTCAATCTTCTTTATTGAAGAAGTGTAAGCTGAATGCTAACTACCGGAGATGTTAAGTAGAGGCCAGATAGAATGCCCGCCAGGCCGAGTGAGATACTGTAAGATGCTGTGTTTCCAGGTTATAAATAGCCAGCAGGAGTCTCATTAAGATTCAGACAATGAAAAGAAGTTCAGGCTATTTTTGAACCAGATTTGATATTTGGAATTAGGAACTAGGAATGTTATGTATCTCAATTTCCAATTTACATTTTAATGGAGTCTTTTGAGAGAAAGAATAAAGACAGTTAGGTTATCCCTTGATCTAAAGATACCAGTCTGCATATTCATTGCATATTTCAAACTGGTCCTACACTTTTTTATTGTTGTTTCTACTGATCAGAATGAAGCACTGGAATTTGCTGAGTCTGTGGGCTACCCCTGCTTGTTGAGACCTTCCTATGTATTGAGGTAAAGTATTGTTTTCTGAGACAATGATTCAAAAATGGGGAATTCAGAAATGCATGCTGTGTGCTAATAGCTCTTGGCTTTAACATGGACTAATTTATAAATCCGTCCACAACCTCCAAACCACTATGGGCAGTTTGAAGATGTCCTTCAACTTAGTGGTTTTCCTTTGGGGGGTAGCAACAAGAACAGAGGACATTTCTACATCTACAAGCATAGCTTCAGGCATCTCCTTGACAAACTGAAGGAGGATAGTTTTACATGAAAAAATAGGACAATTAGAAAAATTGGAACATCTCTTGCCAGCATCTATTTTCTGATATCCAGTGTTCTGTTTAACTATTAGCACCTTCTCTGATAGTGCCTTTGTTTTGGAATTTTGAGTTTTTGAGATCAGCATTTTTAATAGATGAATTATAATGCTCATGAACATGAGAAGTAGAATTTTTTACATTAAACTTTGAAACTAGGTTCCACCATCAAAGGAGAAGTGAATTATCATTTGCTCCCTTCAGATGTTGCCACCTGTAAGAACCATTTCACTAAACAGGGGATAATAAGAGAAATACGATTTGCTGTGCACAATTTGAAAGTGTAAATGGAATTTGTGATGGGATCCTTTAAAATAATGAAAAATTTCAAATGAGGTGGAAAACTTTCCATTTTTATTGAAATTACATTTTGTGCAAACCACAATATAATACTACTACATCTTTGAGGAATTAATGTAAATTAATTTAAACAACAGATAGATATTTAAAGAAAGGATTGGAGAAAATAACTTTGACTACTGCAATTCCTTTTCCATTTTGAAACCTATATCTTTGTTCCAGTTTTTTGTACTTTGAATTATTAGCATTACCGTTCCAGCCTTTTTCTCATAGGCAGTGAAGCAATTAAAGTTTCCTATGCAGAGCTTTATAATAGAGTAGGAAAAATAATGATTACTTTTAAGAGAAAAGGGAAAGTAATTTTTCTTCCTTGTTTTGCCTTCCTTCTATTGCTCCTATATTCTTCCCCTCCCATCTCATTTTGGAAATGTCAAAATTCAGAGTAAATTGATTTCAGATAGCATTATTTCTTAAGTATTTAGAAGGAACGACACAGTTGAATAAGTTTCAATCAGCTATAGTACATTATATTTGCAAATGTTACTAAAAATAATTGATTCTTTTATAACGGAGGCAGTAGAATGACCTAGTTTGACGGTGTACCAGTGAGTGAAGAATAGTTGTTGGTAAAACTCTGAAGAAACATGGTTAGAGAAATTAGGCTCTGGGATAAACCCAGTTCAAGTGGAAGAATTACTTGGCATTAGCAAGGCATTTAAACCATAAATCCCAAAGAGCAGACTTTGGGGAAATATAATCTCTAGAGCAAGCAGGGTCCACTTGGGACCCTTTCGTCTTTCTGGTGACAGTTTACTTTGGTTGATTATCCTAGTGATTGAATGAAGTCTTGATTTAGAGAAAGATGCCTCCCCATTAAGATTTGAACTAGAAATTTCCTGGAAGCATTCTGAGGGTCCATCAGGTTTAGTGTGCTTTGCTTTTGCAGCAGTAAAAGACACTAACCTCCTTTTCCCAACTTGTTTCTCAGTGGGTCTGCCATGAATGTGGTGTTCTCCGAGGATGAGATGAAAAGGTTCCTGGAGGAGGCCACCAGGGTCTCTCAGGTAGGGTCCGATTCCTCCTGTCGACTTTGACCTCTTTGGTTAACTGCTGTTTTACTTTGTACCACACTGTTAGGATGGTTTTTGTTTGTTTGTTTGTTGTTCCTTCTACCTATGAGTCTCTGCAAGAATGAAAAAGCACAAAAACTTTAAATTTTCACTAGATTCTAACAGCAAAAGAAAAAGTACTGTGAATTGTGGTCAAAACAAATTTGTATGTTTTTAGACTGTAAATGTCTATAAGGATAAGGACTCTTGCTGAAGACTGGATATGCATCTTGTACTCAGACACAGACCCTGGTCTAAAAACTCCTGAGATTCTCAGTCTCAAAGCCTATCTGGTCATTTCATCCCTAACCCATGGAAGCGTTCCTGATTTTAAATTCTCACACCTGGGGACTTTGCATTCATTAGCCATGCAATTTGAATAGTGAATCTCCTCACTCATCTATTGATTTTCTTCTCATTTTGGGATATTTCCTTTAAGACTTAATAAAACTGTTTTTAATTTTGTAGTGACTCATCCACTTCTCTTCACTGCCCCTAGCTTTTACTTTCTTTTTTGCATTACCTCGGTGTGATCCATTTAAGGTTTACCCAGTGGAGTTATCGATCGTCAGACCTTGTTAAGTAGAGGATGAAAGTAATGTTTTCCTTCTAAAAGCTTGCAAAAGTTACTGGGGATTAAAAAGAAGAGAGATACAAACTCATAGAGAAGAGTTTGACATAAGATAAGAGGAAATTTGTGGGAGTCAAACAATGGAATCAGCAGCATTCAAAGAGAGAGAAGATGGATTGTTACTATCACATAGGAAGCTGTGTGATTGTTGCTCCTCCAGGATATTTGGGTGAGGAAGAGAATGCATAAAAATCTAAAGGATGAGAATGGGCAAAGGACCTACAGAAAGGAACCAGTGGGGTTAGAATTCATACTGATGTGAAAATCAGATAACTGAGAAGAAAGTATCTTCTGTGGGCCTGTTTCCATTATGTGCCCTGACATGAGACACAATCTGTCTTCTCTTCTATGCTATCCCTTGCCAGGGATCCTGCACCCTTTTTGAGAGCTCAACAACTGTCCTCAGCTGGTTGTAGACATTGGATTGAGGAAGGTTTCTCCTCTTCTGTGTCTCAATTTATTTTATGGCTAGGATGCGATATATGGTACTGATTATACTGATTAGTTTGCAGTACTTCAGAAAGAGTAGATTGCTTTGTTTTGAGATAGGTTGGTCTTGAACTCACTATGCAGTTCAGACTCAGCCTCCTGAGTGCTGAGGAAGTGAAAAGGAGACCAGAAAGCAGAGGGGAGGAGGAAGTTGAGGGTGGGAAGAAGGGACTGTAAAAAAGAATATGTGTCAAGTACATCTACCAAATACCACTGTGAAAATAGTCATTATGTGTCACATAGATGTGCTAATAAATAAAACAAAAGAATGGATTATAGAGCAGGACTGAATTGATGAGAGAGGTAGTGGGCTATTGTAGCTCATGGCAAAGATGATAGAAGCTTGGAGAAGAATGACAGCAAAGGAAGAGAGAAATATGTCGGGAATGCGTGGATGTTGGGTTCAGAGAAGACAGAGGTTAGCTGCAGAGTTCTTGCTTTGATCAGCTGGCTGAAGAGTAGGCTGTTTATTAACAGGCAGCAGCGGGGAGGTAGAGGAAATCATACATTAATTCTGGCAATGTTATGTGGTAAGTTTATATGGGAGCTGCCTGTGAGGAATCTAAGCAAAAGCGATTTGAAGGCAGAGGGCTACAGACTTAGAATTGAGGGTCCAGATCATGCCTAGAGATAAATCTGAATATAAGTTCTGAAACGAATAGATGACACTTTGAATTGAAGTTTTGGTAGTGGAAGCAATCACCGAAGGAGAGACTGGGAACTACGGCAGCTGAGATGCAGGAATAGCAGCATTTCAGGTCTGAGTGGAAAGGGAAGAACCATGAGGGAGGAGCGAGAAAGAAGAAAATGCATGAAGATGTAGTTTGCGGCCATCAAAGGAAGAAAGTATTTTGAGAAGACAGTGAATAAAGGTGCTGCAAGATTGAAACTGAAGAGGAGATTTTTCATAAATCTATTCAGTTGTCCAGGATGGTGGCTGCTGTTGTTCCCTTAATCCCCGGGTTCCTTGGCCTGTGGGAGCACCTGTCCATAGCTGCTGTGATGGTCAGTAACACCTCCTCACTGTGCTCTGCTCTGACAGCAGCCTTGTCCCGCAGGAGGCAAGAGCCTTTGTACCCTATCTGCCCTCGAAGCCCTAGACAGTGATTGACCTTGCTTCAGGATGGGACTTTACAGTGTAATCCGTGTTCCATCCCTGTAGGATGAGGCTGAAGTCAGTCTTTTGGGACAGGCTGAGGTTTGAAAGATGAAGCTGAGGAGAAAATGCAAAGGGACAAAGGGAGGAGAGACATGTATCTGGTAAGAAAGTGTGTATGGTCCATGGTGCTGGAGCTTTATGGAGGATCTGTTTAAATCCAGGAGGTCATCAGCCAATGTATTCATTTGGTGTGGAAGGAGCCAATGGTTGTCACGCCATGGAGTGATCCCGACTCTGTCATGAAGGAACTGAATGCAGGAACTCATTCAAGATTGACAAGTGGTGTGAAACATTCAAGAAAGGGAGTGTGTTTTAGACTGAAAAAGGAAGTGTTTGGTGTTGTCATTCCATGTTTACTCTGAAAGCTAGATGAGGTGTATCAGCGTAAGATCAAGGATTTCATCTTTGGACCCAACAAAGCAAAGTCGCATGCCATTCTCCTGAGCTCATTCACAGCTTTCACAAAGAGAGCTGACTCTGGAAGTTTGATATGTGTAGAAAATGAGGCTAGGAAGAGATAAAAAACTTCAACCAATAATGATACATAGTTATAGAGTAGAGAAATAGTCATGATACTGGCAGCAGAGAAGGAAGCCACATTCCTGCTTCCTCTTCAGCCCCCTCTTTTCTCCAACTGGTCTGGAAGCCAGCATCTGAGATTTTGGAACTCACGTTCTGTTTAATAAACACTCAGAGAGCTGCAGAAAAATGTGTGGCACTGCTGTAAGCAGAGGATGACCTTTTACTTACAAAATAGCCTGGCTAATGAGCTCGTATATTGTGTTTAGCCTTAGGTCTCCTGCAAGTGATGCCCTAGTGTTTACTTAAGGTACATGAGTTACTTGACATCACATGCATAATTTCAGCTAATGCTTCCGCTCCTTGGTTTTTCTCGCTGACAGGAACACCCAGTGGTGCTGACAAAGTTTATAGAAGGAGCCCGGGAAGTAGAAATGGATGCTGTTGGCAAAGATGGAAGGGTAAGAACTTTATCCTCATCTCCTGTCCCCATTCTCCCATTAATTTATTTTCCTTAATGGTCTTCCAGCACTTATAGATTAGAATTCAGGATTCCACAGAACAGGTTTCTGCAACAGTGAAGAAGTTGCTCAGTCAGAAAAATTCAAATTCACTGGCAGTCCAGGTGATGTGTCATGGATCCCCTGTTTCCTGTTTTTACTGTTAGGGTTTCTCTTTGATGATGCTCAGAATTAATTATCATCCTGAACTCATTGCTCTTTTTCTTAAAGTGGATTTTCTTTCTTCTTTTCTTTTGTCCATAGTTTCCTTTCATGTTTCAATGAATATTATAAAAACCTCATCTTTTTCTTTCTGAGGTTTCCAATTGAATCTCTAGTTTCCTTCTTTGTTGATTTCCCACCTTCCCCTCTTTTTGTTGGATTCATAATCAGAAAACCAAACACAGCCAGGAAGACAGGATAATGACGTAAATTAGCTTACTGTATCACATCTGGTATTGCTAATGTGATGAATGCCTCCAACTTCAGGGGAAAATGAAAACATGAAGAGTACTTTTACTCAAGTTTTCTAATTGTGTTTATAAAGCATTTGTGATTTATCTTCAAATATAGGTAGTTATGTTTTAGAGCATATATGTCATTTTGTTTGCTTCAAGGAAAAAAATAGAAAGTTAGCCTCCATCTTATTTTGCAAATATTTCAAAACATTATCATCTTAGTCACTTTCCTGTCACTTGGATGATGATCCCCAACACACAATTTAAAGCAGGAGAGGTGTACTTGGGCTCACAGTATCAGTCTGTGGTCAGCTAATTCTGAGGCAGAAATGGAATGGCACAGAATATGGCAGAGAAAAGGGTGCTCAACGTACAGCATCCAGGAAGCAGAGAGAGAAGGGAGAGCCGGGGACACAATGTTAGCCTTTGCAATGACACCCACACTGATCTACCTCCACTCAGCCCCCATCACATTTATCTCAGCACATTTATCTACTGAACTCGGATGAATCCACTGATCAGTGTAATGGCTCCTTTATCCCTTTCATAGCATGAGAATTTGGGGTGACGTTTTAGATCTAATATATAACATCGGCCAAACACATTCACTTCTTTCTTTTTCCTTTGTTTCAGATTACCAGTTTAGGGTAGTGTTTTTTAAATTTTCATTTTTAATCATAAATGTGTCTGCTTACTATTATGACCCTTAATAGTGTCATAGAATCTTAATTTGAAGCAGCTTTTAGTGTAGCTTCTCCACTCTAAGGCCAATAGTTTTCTTTCCATCATCTCTAGAAAGTATTTATTTGATTTTTAGAAAACTCTTTGCTGCATTGATAGAGAGCACAAGGTATTGCAAGCTTATTAATTGCATTTTAGTTTTTTGGGAGTGAGATCTCAAGTATTTTCAATCTTAAGCTAGGCTTTGCTTTTCTAGAACTCTCGTTGCTGACCTTTGAGAGCAGAAATTTAATCTTTCACTTTTTCAGAATTTTAAATATTTTAAGACTGAAATACAGAACAGGAGACATGTGATTGTGCATCTAAGGAAGCAGAGATCAGAGGACTGTCCTAGAGATACGTACTTGTCCAGATTTTGAACTTGTAGAATGGTGCTGGTCTGTTGGCCTGATTTATCTCCAGGTCAGTGGGATCTGATCTTGCCTCAGCTTCTCTGTGACATCTGCCATTACACATCAACTCCTGTGATGTTTTGGAAATGTTTCAGTCTCCTCACCCAATTATTAAATTGCCAGGGTCAGAAATGGGTATATACTTCCAGTATGTTACATTTGTTTTAGAGCTTGGTGGATGATCGCTTCTCCTTTCTAGACTGCACACACACACACACACACACACACACACACACACACACACAAAATTGAGCTGTTACTGTGTTGTGAAGCTAGGTACTTTCCTCATCTTCTTTTTTATCCTTACACATGTTCTGAGATAGGGACGCTGTTGTTTCCTTCTCGTCAGAAACCAAGGCTAAGCAGGCAAAGCGCCTTGCCCAGGTCCCAGAACTCAAAAGTTACACCAGAAGGATGGAGAACCAATGTGACTCTGCTTTAGGTATCCTTGAATTGATAATAAAATGTATGTAATTTACATAAATCTTTTACAGTCACCCAATTATTCTCCCTCATGTTCAGCTTCACTATTTCTCAAACATATATTACCAACGTAGGTTAAAGAAATAACACGAGTTCAACATTCTAACAGGGGCTTGTACTTGTCCTATGAACTTGAGTCTTTATTCTTACAATGCTTTCAATTTCCTTATGTCTAAAAGAAGACAAAAATATTTCCTCTTGTCTCTTTCCTCCCGCAATTGTCAGTTTCAGTGTCTCTTGATCGGATCTTCATTTCATTTTCTAATCCACTGAAGTTACCTCATTAAGCTAACTATTCACCTCTCCTCTCCTCTTCTTTTTTTTTCCTTTTATATGTCTAAAAGATACCCCCAGTGGTTTGAAAACCCTGTGGTTTTTCATCCTGTCCTGTCAGTGCAGAGACCTGAGTGGTTTTTGCAAGGCTTTCTTCCATTCACACCAAGAACTTAGCCAAGGCTTGGTCAATGCTTGGGGCGTCTCTTAGAATCCAAGGGTGTAGGATGGAGCAGCCTCCTTGCAGGAGGTGCGTGACAGCTGTTTCTCAAATCTTCCCTTGGCAGGTGATTGCGCATGCCATCTCGGAGCACGTGGAAGATGCAGGTGTTCACTCAGGAGATGCCACTTTGATGCTGCCCACACAAACCATCAGCCAAGGAGGCATCGAAAAGGTCATCATCTATTAAGGAAAGGGGAAGGGGAATAGCGAGAAATAAAAATTCTCAACTAAACACAACCAAACAAAAAAATTCCCCAGCTAGGTAGCAAAATAAGACATGCTCCAGGTACAACTTAGTAATGAGGGGAATGTCCTTGTCCTTAGCCAGATGAGTATTTTAAAGACAATTTTTTTCACAGTCCTTTAGAGCCTGTTTGGCTGTTATTTAGTGAAGTGGTTCTCAAACTTTAGTGCGTACCCAAACCATCCAGGGAGTTTATTAGAATACACATTGCTGAGCTCCACCCCTGAGCTTCTCATTCCAGAAATCTGGGTTGAAGAGGAGCCCCTCAATATTGTACTTTTATCCAGTGGCCAAAGAGATGCTCTTTCCACTGGTCTGGAACCACACTGCGAGAATGGTTGCTGCAGCTGATTCTCAGGTTAGAGCTACACAGCAGATCAAGTAATGCTTCTCAGAGTGAGTGAAGCAGGTGCACAGCAGTCACATGGGAACCTTCTAGAACCCATGCTTTGAGTCTTCACCCTTGCATCAAAGAGCACTTTCTGACATGTCTCTTTTGACCCTCTTTGAGTGCCACTCCTTTAAGGAACTTCCCAGCATAGATTATTGGCTCAGTACTCACATGTGTGGCTGGGTAAACACGTGATGTTTATCATTTAAGTCACTCTTGAGGGTATCCCACAGGCCTGCATGGGTATCGTGCAGGCTTGGCTGCCTGCTTGTACACTGGCTGAATTCTGAAAGACTGTTCTAGAATGTAGAGGTAGCAGGGTGCTTTGTAAAATAACAGCAGAATATTAAAAAAAGAGTCCCTGGGTTTTAAATATATTTCCACTTCTCATGTCAGGATAAATGACCTAAAAACTCAGCGTTTTCCAAATCTTGAAGAGCTCAGTGTGCCACAGAATCCACTTCTTTTCATGCCCAATTAAATTGCTGACCTGCTCCTGTAACTGTAATGAGAGAAGAGCTCTTGCGTCTGTAATCAGAGCCTCCTCTGGCATTGGGACCTTCTGGCTGTGGTTGGAAGCCGGGATTCCTATATGTGACATGCAGACATGCAGAGCCTCCCCACGGACAAACATCATTTCCTTCTGACCATAATATCTACTCTTGTAGGGCTTAGGGCAACAGAAAAGCAACATAAAAAAACTCTCCCTGGCCTCTTTGCAGTGCCAGGTAATTTCAGGGCCTGCACCTCTCAGCAGGTAGGTCATTAGATTGATATACAGTTTGGGCTGTTGTTTCTGGTGCTAAAGCAACCGAAAAGATTTCATTTAACTCTCAGTGTAAGACCAGTGTATGTAATTACAAGAGAGAGGGGTATTTGGCAGACAGATTTTGCCATAAATTATTCATTCTTTCTTCTCTTGTTCTGTTGTGACTACTTAGTACATATTATTTTGTTAATAAAAGCCTAACAATTTCCCTATTACTGCTTTTATTATTAATGCACATGTAGGCCTTTATAAAGACAAAATAATGAAACCTAAGTTAAAGGGACTGAACCTTTCTGTGCATTGTATTTTTGTCTAAGCCATGCTCTTTTGCACTATTTCATTGTCTTTTGCTGTAGGTGAAGGATGCCACCCGGAAGATTGCAAAAGCTTTTGCCATCTCTGGCCCATTCAATGTTCAATTTCTTGTGAAAGGAAACGATGTCTTGGTAAGAAATACCAGCGTGCCTTTGAGGACACTATCACTGTGTTAGGTCATGTTGGACTTTTGTCCCTCTGGTAATCCCTGTGAACACCGGCCACAGTCACGGAGACCCTTGTAAGCCGTTCGTGTCTGAGAGTGGGATGTCGCATTGCATGTAATGCCTGTCCTGTTTGAAGTCACATGATCTTGGTGGCACTGACATGTCAGTCACAGATACGTAAAGCACTCTGATCCACTAGAAGGAAGATCACTGTATACTTCCTGCACTATAAGTGTAGCTAGGTGTGGTACATATCAGAAACCAGATATATAGAGTACTCATGTGTTACCTCACTGAAGTTCTGCTTTTTCCTTACTCAGAGACAGAAACTGAGCTGGATACTATTTGAAAAAAAAATTAAATGAAATAAAACTTAAAGTCAGTTTGGGTATTCCTAATTTGCTCTTTTAACTAGCCAATAACATATATGCTCTTTTGTTTTAACCAGTCTGTAACTATTGTATGACTAAATGATATATATATATATATCCAATATTATAGATAAAGGCAATTATAGATATAGATATAGATATAGATATAGATATAGATATAGGTATAGATATCACCTACCATGCAGTCATACAATAGTTACAAAGGTACGTAAGATACAGTCTCTGCTCTCAAAAACCATATAACTTAAGGAGGAGAAGGGATGAAACAAATTTGACAGTGAATACTATAAAGTGAAGTTTAACAGCTGCATGGGAGGGTGTACAAATAAAATAGTTTTGGAATTAAAGAACAGAAGGACCATACTTGTCAGTGTATGTGCACATGACTGCCTGAACATCTATGTGGATATCATATGCCTCGTCCATCTGGGGTGAATCATAAAAAGTTTCAAGGACGATTTTGAATTGTGAGCTACACTTTACAGAATAGCTGAGATTTTGACAAGGTAAAGTAGGAAGGAAAGGCTTTGCACGTAGATAGAGGATCATCTATAAGGCTGAGAAAATTGCATGTTTGAGGAGATAGTGAATAGCTCAGTTTAGTGAGGTCATTTTTCTAGGTAAATAATGTCAGGTAAGCTTGGAAGTAGAACTGGAGCCAAGAAAATGATGTAAGATAGAATGGACAGGTATGTTGAGGCAGGAGGACCTCAAGGTTTGGGGGGCTGGGTTTATTCTGATGTTAGTGGGAATCTGGTGGGAGCTTTCTGTGGGAATGTGGTTTTATCTGCATCAAAGCGATTCCATCAGTGATGTGTGGGGATTGAATTGGGGAAGTTAATAGGAAGAAAATAAAACTTTAAAGATGTTCAGAAGACCAGTTGGGAAAAGTTTAAGCAGTGGAGAGGAAAGGAGAAAGATTAGCAAAACAAGTGCTGGTCTCCAGTTAATAACAGTTAAAACCAGGTGTCAGGAAGTGTGTCAATATTATTTTATTGGCTCTCATCATCTTCTCCCTCTTTTTGAATTTTGTTATCTCTTCAGGTGATTGAGTGCAACCTGAGGGCTTCTCGATCCTTCCCCTTCGTTTCCAAGACCCTTGGGGTTGACTTCATCGATGTGGCCACCAAGGTGATGACCGGAGAGCAAATTGATGAGCAGCACCTCCCGATCCTGGAGCGTCCCATAATTCCTGCTGACTATGTCGCGATTAAGGTGATGTTCTTCTAAAATCTCTGAGTTATTTTGTGAGTCCAAAAGAAATGAAAGGAACAATTTTCCATCAGAACTCTCATGACTATAGAAAACCTCGAAGTAAAGTAGTAGACTAGTGATTGTTTCCTTTCAATAACATAATGCTGCTTGTACTAATGGTAACTCCATGTGAACTTTTGTGTATTTATAAGAACTATAAAAAGCATCTGGGACTGCACAAACTCAAAACCAGCTATATAAATAAATTAGAAGCTATGTACATATGATGCTGCAGATTAGCTGGTGAAAAGAAATACCAGATGTGGTGATGGGATGAAGCTAGGATTATGCCACTTTTGAATTGTGCCAAGTCTTCAGGACTCTATGATTCCTGTAAATGTAATTACCTCAAGGTGCTTGTTAATTCCAGGTCACCTCGGCCACCCTAACATTTTCCTCAGTAGCATAATTTTTCTATTTGAAACAGTGAGAGTGTAGTTATTGTTTATAGTGATGCTGAGGATCATGGAATGAAGATTATATTTTAATAATGCTTCATTATGAATCCGTTGTACTCTGCAAGCTGCCCTGGTATGTTCGTGCATGGGGTGTTTATGACTTTTAATTGCTTTGCCTGACAGGCGTGAGGATTAGTGAGGTATATAAATACATTTTAACTTCTTAGATGAAGCATACGATGAAATTGATTTTTATCGCGTGATATATTTATGAGACATTGACATATTTTGGGTGCCTCGAAAGATTCCTGTTTCTATATGTGCTCGTAGCTTCAGCCGTAATAGTGTTATAGCTAAGACACTGACTCCTGGCTTTTTTAGTGGGAGCTTAAATTGGAGCTATCAATGAAAAATATTAATTTTGCTTAAATTATAATTTAGGATGCCTTCAATTTTTTTGTGTGTGTTGAAATGTAATGTCACTTTTCATGTTGGGGAAGGTGATATTTTCTTTCTACTGATACAAATTCATAAAGCTTTTGACATTATGCAACTATATATGCAAATATATATACATCTATATGTACATATATTTGTGTTTGAAATCAAAAGAGAGTAGGAACTGAAAAATGTTTTCCACTAGGTACTATGCATCAATGTTAAATTGATATTTTTATCTATATATAGGAATATAAAATTCTTATTAATGTATATGAAAACAATTTCCAAGTAAAACCAATATTATAGATAAAGGCAATTAAAAATTCATTGTAGCTTCCCACTTACTTTTTCCTTGTTATTGTTGTGTATGAATTTTAAATTTTTTTCAAATTACCTATTCGTTGTCAATCCTAATAGCGTCAGTCAGGTTGGTAGAAAGCTGCAGATGGGAGAACAAGGAAGCTGGCGCACATGCATGTGTCATAACTTCAGCGAGATGACCCAGTGGAATAAATTCCTGGGCTAGACTTCCCACGAAAAGTTTGTGGGTGCCAGAATCAACAGAGGAACAGTCTAGACCAGATAAAGGGACACAGCAAGAAAACAAGGCCTTAATTCTCAGTGAGTCTCACTGATAAAATAAATGAAAAAGAAGGATTTCTATGTAAAGTTCTGGGCAAAAGTTTTTGCAAGCACAATGCTTTCAAAAGTCTTTAAGACACATCAACAGCAGAAGCCAGCTTGCAGGCAGCTTTCTCTGGCAAGGTGGCTTGTTGCTAGTTCAGATGATCAGAACAATAATAGGAGTGTTCCAAATGCCTATCAAAGGGGGAAAATACGTTTGAACTCTGTTTTAGGAGAGACCAATGCCCAGTAGACGTTGTTTGAAATCACGCCAATAAGAATATGTGTAAACCAGATTAGAAACACTGGTCTAGACTGGTCACAGGGGACCTATTTACAGAAGGAATTTGTGATTATTTAACCCAAGTTTTTGGCCAAGAGCTAAACAAATTCTTGGAACAGAATTTTAAAGCTATTTTTCACCTCAGATGCTTGTACCAACGAGATTTTCTGTATGTGTACTGTAGACTCTGAATCCTGTGAGAGATGATTCACTAAATATATTCATCCTCTCTGATCCTTTCATCTCTCTCTCTCTGTCTCTCACCTATTTTTCTTCCCTGTCTTACCTGACAGGCTCCAATGTTTTCCTGGCCTCGGCTGAGGGATGCTGACCCCATCCTCAGATGCGAGATGGCTTCCACGGGAGAGGTAACCACCTAATGACCCATAAGGCTTTTGGTAAATCACCTTTGAAACCCATGGTTTTATGATCTGAATACAGTAAAGTAAGTAGGTTACTACATAAGGAGAGGCACACAAACTTCCACTTTCAGAGGAAGTCTCGGAGGGTTAAAGAATTTTGAAGTAAAAAGAAACACCTTTTACTCTTTGGAACATAATCTAAATCCTCACTGGCATTTCCACGTGGGCCACTAATTCATGGGTTCTGAGTTTCCATTGTCACATTACACGTGGGGAACAACTTGCAGATATTTCTCTAGCGCTGTAGGTAAATGTGCCCTCAGAGACTCCTCTGCCTTTTATTTTAAGGTTCTCAGTTTCTCTGCAATAGCAGTTCATCCCCTGCTTTGTTACTGTGAGGTCAGATTGCTGGGTTTTTACTAGCAATTTGTAGAACAATGGCACTAAAAAGATCACACACCGATGTGGCGGTGGAACCTGCAGATTCACACACTATCTCAAGATTGCATTTAAAGCACCTCTACCCTTCTGGGGACTATCTCAGAACTATAATGGGACTAGCCACTGGATGTCCCTCTTCCCTTGTGTTGGAACTGCGCCAACCCAAGGTTTCTTTCGGAATGTGAAATGTGTTTTCTCTTAGAGAGCTGTCAGATTCTCGAAAGTTCTCTGCATGTCAGTGTCAGGACATTTTATGAATCACCTAGCCCTTGACAGACGTACTAGGTACAACCTTCAGATCCCCATCTATGCACACTGCACTGGCAGCATCAGACTGTGAGGCATCATTGATTCTCTTGGTAGGAAGGAAAACGTGAGTAAGAAAGGGAAAATGGTTAATTGCAACAAATGCATTATGCTTTCTATGGTTGCCTGGTTACAAGCAAGCTGTGTGATGAGAAGCCAAGTGAGACAAAAAGCAGGCAGTGAGAAATAAATGACTATCCTGCTTATATTTGGTCACTTGGAAGACAGGACCCTCGGTCCCTTTGCTACTTCTTTTAATTTAATAGGCAGAAGAGCCCAGCTTTAAAATGAAAGCAATACATCATGTTGCCAGTCAGTGTAAAGAGGCTCTCTCCAGGTCCGTCTTGGTCCCGCAGGCCTTGTACTGTGGGCACTATTCAGCTGTTCTGGGGTGCAGATCAGGGATATATCTGTTTTCTCTCATCCTGTTTGCTGTCTTTGGTTTTCAGTGCTTGTGTCCTGCCTGTCTCTGTCTATGCATACTTAGAGTTTTTGAAATATGAAATTATGAATGAATTAGAAATTCATTCTTCCCTTGGTTGTATTTTCTTATAAAGTATGCAAAAAGAGAATTCTTTATTTGTCGTTTGAAAGAGGCGTTTTCTGAGTGTCATAAGGTGTGATGTGATGAAGCAATGTCTGTTTAGTAACTGAAATCAGAATGATAATTCTAGCTCAGTCATTGCAATCACCCTGCAAGCAGACTTCCTCCAGTGTTTAAATAACTTGTGGTAGGGTTGCTCAAGCCTCCAGTCCCAATCTAATTACCAGATTTTTTTTTTTCCTAGTAGTGAAGTAGGGATGTTAACTCTTAGTCTTTATAGGAATATTAAACTACTTTCTCAGAAAATTGCTGTATTGTTGTGTCTGTACCTTATGAGGGAATACACAATTTATTTTAGTAGAATTTGAGACCCATTAATTAAGGTTGACATTACTTAAGTTAGTTGGACAGTATTGGATTCAAATGCTCGCTGTGAAAAGCACCAGGTATTTGTATGCAGCCAAAGGTCATAGTCATGAGAACATTCTTTGCCTAGTAAAGGAGTCATTTGCTTAAAGAAGGGATCCAGCCCTCAGTGTCATTTACTGCCATGGTGGGTTTGTACTTGGGCCAAATGAGGATGTGCACCGCACAACTGACCCCTGCCACGTTAAATTCTATCACTTGTCCTCTGATCAAGGAGGATATTTGACTTGTAGTTCTGTCTGTAGCACAGTTAGTCTGAGTGAAATCTCTGTAAATACTAACATTATATGTTAGTCTGGACCATTTCTGTGGCATTTTGGATGAGTTGCAGGTTATTTTTGGTTCATTTTATGAAAATGATAAAAAGGAACAAGCTGTTTTGGGACTTTCATGGAGTTATTGAATTTCTCAAAAGGCTTTCTCATAAGCTGAGTGAAATGGCTCCTAACCTATGGTTGCAGTTCGTCATTTCTACTACTGACCTGTGAATTCGTACTCTACTGCATAGTATTTATAACATACACTGTTATTTAAACAGTAAGTCATATTAACATTTGGAAGTTCACCACGTTCTGGGCCAGAAGCTATGATTTGTATCCAAACAACTTGCAGTAGTATCCAGTCTGTTGTTCCACTGAGTGTTGTTGGATAGAGGAAGAATTGCTTATTCATTCATTATGCTTAATTAAAAACATAAGTACATCTGCTCTGGCCAGCCTTTTATTCCCTGGATTCAGATTGCATGGTCTTTGGGCAACATCAATAAAATCGAGGGAAGTACTTTATGAGTAAATTGCTTTCTCGTTCTGTTTTTTGTTTTTCTTTTCTTTTCTTTCTTTTTTTTTTTTTTTTTGTTAAATGTAGCGGATGGTTATTTGCTTTCCTTGGTTTATTTTTTCATTTATTCCTAAACAGGTGGCTTGCTTTGGTGAAGATATTCACACAGCGTTCCTAAAGGCAATGCTTTCTACTGGGTTTAAATTACCACAAAAAGGTATCCTCATTGGGATCCAGGTACGTGAAGTGTGTTTGTGTATATTCATGGGGTAACACACTCTGAGTGACTAGGATATTTCTGGGAAATATTACTGTTTGGTAAGTGCACTAGGCAGCTTTTTATTGCTAGGGTGCAATACCTGACACCTACAACTTGAAGGAAGAGATATTTAATTTAGCTAAGTATTAGAGGTTTGGAGTCCAGGGTTGGCTGGCTCCAAGGAAGGACTGTCATGGTGGAAGGCATCATACAGCAGAGCTGCTTAGTGTACAGGGCCTGTGCAGCAGAGCAGAGGAGCAGGCCCAAAGAGAAATAGTGAAGGACAGTGTGGTACCCAAGACCACACCTCCATGACTATCAAAACACGTCCAGGAGTGTAATCCCAGTCTGCTGGGTTAATCCAGTGAAGCTGACACATAGGATTAACAACCATAATAAGCCTTCTAAACCAAAGCAGGGTAAAGTCCTTAAAATGGACATGTTTATGCAATTAAAAGACATCATTGTTTAATCATTGTGAGTTAAATGTAAATGAGGGTAAAACAGAGGAGAGGCAATGTCTAATAACCCTTGGAATGATCATGCAAGAGTGTACAAACCCTTCTGTTTATAAATTTCCAGAAAAAAAAATTGGATGCTTCTCAACTGGTCGGTCATTTACTCTCATTTGAGATTAGAAATTCTTGGGTCCTGTAAAAAACATTACTGGTCTTATATACTACCCCTGCTGTGCTTTGAAAAACCTGTATAGTTACATAAAAATCAATAAGAATATAATTTGAACAGCTTTCTCCAGCCAGTGGGGAATGATTATAAATGCTGCCTCATTCGGGTGTCTTAAAATCATTGAATTAGACTCTGGAGGCTGCGCAGTGGGGCCACTGTCTTTCAAGAAGATTCTGCAAAGGAAAACTTGGGCTCTTGCTTCATAAAGATGCAGAAGGGCATTGGCGAGGGGTCAGAGCAGAGGCTAACAAGAGGCCAGGTGATTGTGCAGCTTAACGGCAGTTTAGAGGCAGAACCCATCACACGAGTGACTCATTACGCTGTAAATGAGCATTCAGTATTATGAAGTTCTAAGTGTGAGAATATTTGCCCAAACGCCAGTGAAGGCTTAACGTTTAATGTGAGGCCTGGGGGGCATTCAGAGGAGATCATGCCCTCAGTCCTCATCTTCACAGCTATAGTTTAAGAAGGCAGTGATGTATAAAATTGTGCCTTGTTTGGTTCCAGTGCTGGAGGGAAATGTGAAGCAGAAATTAATTTGAGCCCTATAAAGTAGTTGTATGATTTTGGCATTAGTGAAGAGAATTTTGCTTTGTAGGGAAAAATGGGGATTTTTGTGGGAGTAAAGAAGTTTTCTTAAAGCAATGATGTGACATCCACTATAATTCACCTTTCAGTGCATTGCATTCTTTTTAAAAAAATCAATGTTTCAATAGCTCTGTGAACTTTGGAAGAAATGCTCAGTGTATGAATATAAAATGTTATGTACATAAAATATATATTTTAGTATAAAATTTGAGTATTTCCTAATAAAATTATACTTAAAAATACTTTCATCTATGAAAAGTGACCAGCTGGATTATAATCCATAAGAATCATATTTTCTTGGGCTGGGATTTTAGCTCAGCAGCCTGCCTATCAATTATGAGGTCCTGAGTTCAATCTCCAGTACATACCCCTCCAAAAAGGATCGTGTTTTCTGACTTGTTTTATATGGAAGACAAGGAAAAATCGCCATCCCTAAGAGTGGATGCATAGCTTCCATTACTATATGTGGAATTTTTATTTATAGTGATTTTTAAACATTTCTAGTCAGAGAGTTAATAGCTATAAACCTCACTAGACATCTTCTTAGCTAGAATAGGAACAAATCTAAACTCAATTTTTTACCAAAGCTTCAGAGCCATTGTAGATAAAATAATCCAGGCTCTATAGTCAAGGATACAGTGTCCAAAGCACTGTATTTAACATAATCTCATTTGTTTGAAGAATTCATATGAACTTTTCCAAAAATATAAAGTCAAAACCAAAAAGAACATTAAATATTGCTGCCAATGTATAAATAAAATCAAGTCTAGTAAATGCACTGGAAAGCATCTGGTTGTTGGTGAGTTATGCAATGAAGTTCTGAGAAAGAAAGTCTACAATTATGCTTTGATTTCTTAACATGGTCATTCAGTGTGATGCTGTGTATAACATTCATGGAACATTGGTATCCTATGCTGTTGCTGTTGATTTGATTTATTATTTCTTCACTATCAGTAGGGAGGATGGTCGGTATCTGTCCACTTGAAATGAGGTTTTCTTTTCTCACTCTGACCCTAAAGTCTGCTATGAGTAGAAAGATTTAATGAGCATACTTTGACTCGTTCAGTTTTTAAAATTAATTAAGTTTATTGGTATCTTTTAGATATGCATGGTAGTCACATGCAACATAGAGAATTTGTTCTTGTACATGACATATCTTGATTCTTCTTCTTTTCTCATTCTTCTCCTTTAAACTCCTCTTCTCCTCCTTATTTACAAAAATTTGTTTCCATTTTTTTCCTTATTCTCTTGTGGTTTTTCTTTTTCCTTCCTTCCTTCCTTCCTTCCTTCCTTCCTTCCTTCCTTCCTTCCATCCTTTCTTCCTTCCTTTACCCTCCCCATCCCTAGTTCCTCTTCCTATTTGAATATGTTTTTTCTTTTCACAATATCTATTGCGTTTTGATTATTTACACTTTTGGTTTCTCACATTAGAGAAACAATGCAATGTTTACAAATGTGTGTCTGATTTATTCAACTTAAGAGTATAGTCTGCAGATGAATCCACTTACCTAGAAATGTCTCAAGTTCGTCCTTCTTTATGATTCAGTGATGCTCCGTTGTATTAAAATGTTTTTCTTTATCCACTCCTCATTTGATGAGCATTTGGGCTGACTGATTCATTTTGCACTATAAGTTGCAAGGGAAAATTGGAGGAACAGAGACTCAATAGAGTATAGGAAAAAATGACCCTGAAGCTGAAAACACTTTTTTCCTCATTGTTGGAAGCTTAATGTGTGTTGTTTTAAACAGGCATTTGTAACTGGTAGTGGTCAGCCAAGCTTAGTAGGTAGATTGTGTGTGTGTGTGTGTATGTGTGTGTGTGTGTGTGTGTGAAGGCATACACACTGTGTGACTTCCTTTTTATTTCTCTTTTCTTTCCAACCCTACTTCCTTTACTGGTATAAGCTTTCTCTTTTTGCTCTTCTAAAGTTAAAGCCCAAGGGGCAAATTACCTGTGAAGTTCGAAATACTTAAAACATCAGTGTTGGATAACTAGGACTTAGGAGAAAAAAAAGAATCAAAATTTAGATTTTGTTTTCTCAACTATAATCGGTACCGTGTTTCTCCCAAGAGACATCAATATGCCAGGCATTTCTATTGTAAAAAAAGTCTAATGCAGGTTTATGTGGCAACAAAATCACCCTTGATTTTCCTGCAGTCGTTCCAACCACCTTTCATCCCGTCAGTGTTTATTTTTAGTTGCTCTGAGTAGGCACTCTGGCTTGTTCAGAGGTTTCTAGAACACTCTTTAACAATGAATGATTGACTCTAGGGTAGTTCAAGAGCGCCCGCTCTTTTCTCCGCTCTGATTGGGCTATTCAGCAATGCCTGCCAAGTGGCTCACACCAACCTGACATCTGCAGCTTCAGCAAAGCTCGGGAACACAAAGCAAGCATTCTATTTGAAGAGACAACTCCAAGTGACATGAATAACCTTTTATCTTCAACACAGCATCATTAGGAACAACCATAGAGTTGTCAATCCAGACATCCCTGTGAAATCCACAGGCATCGCTGGTATTAACTTGGCTTTCTCTTCTGCTGCCAAGAGTTGGGTTAATGTAAAAATGATCATGGGGGCAATAGATATATCTGTATTTCACTTTTTAAAAGGCTCTTCTTTATAAACATTTCTAAGAAAATAAATCAGCTTGTACTTTTCACCTTTAGTAAAGAACGGTTCCTTACACAGGTATTTTCAATCAGCTTTTAAATCTGAGGCTACTCAGATGCGAGCTGACAGCTGTAATTTCTTTTTGTGGAGAGGCTGTTTTATGTGTCACAAGTGTTCAATACATATTTGATAGAAGTTTATAATGTGCCTATGGAAGCCAGCACCCCAGACCAGAAGCCAGAGTGGTTCCCTGGCTAAGAACTGCCAATACTGTCATGTTGGATATTTATCTTTTCCACCTGGGGGACAGCACAGAAACAGCTCCATAATGAGGTTCTGCCTAGTATCTGCAGGTCCTAGGCGACTTTCTGACTTATTTTACTTTAAAATGACAAAGACATAAGTTACATTGCAGAACTCTTCCTGCAACATTTCTTCTTGTGACTTTGGTCAAGGTTAATGCACTTTGACCTAAAATTGGGAAATCAATGACAGATAGTCTTTTCGGGCCCTTCTGTCCCATTTCTAAACCCAAATGTGCACTGGAATCATCTGGTGGGTTTGTGAAATGACAAAGTGGTGGGATCCAAGCACAAAGTTCTTGATTCCGTACAACTGGGTGGAGACTACATTTTCATATTTTAATAAGCTCCCAGTTGATTCTGACATTTATAGGCTTGGGGAACACAATTTGAGAACCCCTTTACTTGGGAAATGGTAATTAGAAAGTTATCATCTTTGTTATCATCCTAGTTTCAGTAACTTTGTTAGAGCAAAGTTTAAGAGATAGCCAGTCATTATGTGCATGGTAAATGCATCAGTGAATAAATAAATCCATAAGTTTGCTGAACAATTTTTATATTGTGTGTAATTTTGTGATTACTTAGGTATGTTCTGTATTTGGCAGAAGTTCAAAATATTGCATATTAGAGAAGTTTAACAAGATGCGAAGGTGCATGTTGAATACGTCATGTATATTTGTTATGTACTGAGGAACTTTAAAACTATAAAGAAAACCTAGAATGGCCCCCAGCTCAGCCCCCTGGTTTCTAGGCAGGGTGAAACTTGAAAGCATGTTTCCTATTCTTCTCCCTAATGTATTTTCAGGAGACTACCACGTACTTCATTTAATTGTCCTCATGCCAGTGAGAGTTATTCTCTGCTTTTCTTACTTATCTCTTTTTGTTTTTTAATGTCTACCAATGAGCTTTTTGTATCCAAGCTTATTTCTTCCTGTTTGATTCTGAACAGAAATGGAAAGCTATATCCTGTGCATGGTTACAATTCATGTTCTAGAAGACCATCATGAATAACCCTTGAGCCTGCCTTAGCTAAAATTCATCCAGTTCCATTTATCTTTTCTATTTGCCAATGGTTCCCTCTCACAAAACTGTCATTCTGGGATTGAGAGGGTTGGAATCGGAAAGGATTTTATGTTTGAACACAGACTCTGGAGTCTTCTCTTGGATTTAGATCTATTCTCGGAGAACTTCTATATGTAAATATGAGGAAACATTAGGGGCTAAAAATTATCAAAATTGTGCAAGAATCTCTATGTTTTACTGCCATTCTTAGTTTATGGCTCTAAAATAAGACCATATCCCTGACTTTTTTGACCATCAATAGCATGATTTCTAAATAGATAATAAGGCATTTACTAAATTAACCACTTTGCATCATCTCTTTAAAAACTTTTAAATGAGAGAAAAAAGCAAAATTGTTCCATTTAAAGACGAACTAATATATTTTCAAGCACACATTATTTTAAATACTCTCATTAGTTTATTTTTGCACACTCTCATAGATGAGGTCAAAATCAGGGCTTGCTATTTGGGTGGGTCATTGAGGGTTTTTTTCCCCTGTCCAGACTACTGTCTTGCAAATATTAGCTGTTTTTAACAGTAGGCATGTTCAGAAGCAGTGAAGCCTGGATGATACTGATCAGGAGTCCACGGAAGGCTGGGGCCCTAGGAGGGACACAGAAATTAACTTGCATCTCATCAGGGAGCTGGGACACTGGGGAAGCTGCATGAAGGTCAAATGTAAATAGATCCTAACAGAGAAATCAGTTTGAGTTTTAAGAGTATCAGCTGATTGAGGAACCAGGATTGGAAACTGGGATACAGGGTCAGGACTCTAGTCTCTGAAATAATGATTTAAATAATAATAATAATGTTATACTTATTCAGTATTATTACTCATCCAATAACCCTGCTAAGGTGTAGAACTGACAGTCAGTACTCACTCATAAATTGCCTTATAGAACAGTCACAACTCTACAACATAGGTGCTGTTTCCTTTAAAAGATGGTAGAGAGGTTAAATTGTTCAAGGTCACAGGTGTTAAAAACTTTGGGGCCTCAGATGGGAAAAATATTATTGTCATCACTCTCTTAGAAATGAAGAAGACTCAAAGCCATTCATTTTTCTAAGCACACATGATAAGTGACGGTAAAGCTGTGATTTGATATGTAGATTAGCAACCCTGGGCTTATTCCGCAACCACAATCTTTTATTACTTTCTAGTGATCACAAAGTCGAGTTTCAAACAATTGATTTATCGCATGGATCTGTGCTCAAGCCACTAGGACAGTTGGCTCTTGCCGAAAGCCATACAAAAATTAGAACTCAAGGGGCTGGGGATTTAACTCAGCAGCATAAGCGCCTGCCTTGCAAGCAGGCAGTTGTGAGTTCGATCCCTGGTACCGATAAAAAGGAAAAAGACAAAAAAAAAAAAAAAAAAAAAAAAAAATTAGAACTCAGCAACTAGAGAGGAGAAACATCCAGCTAGGCAGACTTGGTGTTCAGGTCCTCAGCCAGGTGTCTTTGAAAGGCTCCCTGATAAGGCAAAGTCCCTGCACAGAAGAGGGATGCATCTAAACCTACAGACAAAGACTGAGTGGGTTTAGTAGGAAGCAAAGGGTTTGGACGTAAGGCAAAAAGTGGAGAACAAGAAAATGTGAATGGAATTTCATCTACATTGGAGAATAATGAAAACACTAGAAGATAAAAGGGAAAAACTTTGTCATTTTTGAATATAAAGCACCCAGCTAAATACTGCAGCCTTTTACGATAGGAACGCCATCTTGCACGTGTCTGAATAAGAAGCATGTATATTGACGAGTTAATTTTGCCAAATTTCTTTTCAGCAATCATTCCGGCCAAGATTCCTTGGTGTGGCAGAACAACTACACAAAGAAGGTTTTAAGGTAATCGGTGTTATTATTTTTCAAGTGGCTTCTCAGCCTTGAAATTTGCCTGAAAAACAAAATTCTGCAGACAGGAGAACAGAAAAAGCTCAGAATATGTCCTTTCAACCTGGCAAGTCTAATGAACTTTGTAGTTTCAAAACCTCAGTATGAGTGCAGCCAGCCAGAGCAATAGCCCTTCCCCAATCCTACCACTTCAGATGCTACCCTTCCCTTTTTTACTTAGAGAGGAGGCACCTGAGGTGGCTAAGAAGAGGGATCTGTGCTCCTTATTTACATACCCAACACTCACAGCTAGGCTTCCAGAAGATTTCCTGGTTTCAGTCCTGCCCAACCCTCACAGCTAGGCTTCCAGAAGATTTCCTGGTTTCAGTCCTGCCCAACTCTCACAGCTCGGCTTCCAGAAGATTCCCTGGTTTCAGCCCTGCCCAACCCTCACAGCTAGGCTTCCAGAAGATTCCCTGGTTTCAGCCCTGCCCAATCCTCACAGCTAGCATTCCAGAAGATTCCCTGGTTTCAGCTCTGCCCAACCCTCACAGCTAGGCTTCCAGAAGATTCCCTGGTTTCAGCCCTGCCCAACCCTCACAGCTAACATTCCAGAAGATTCCCTGGTTTCAGCCCTGCCCAACCCTCATGGCTAGGCTTCCAGAAGATTCGCTGGTCTCAGCCCTGGCCCTCAACAACACAGACTTACAGCAGCTATATAAGCAGCACTGCTCAGCCTCTCTCCTGGTTTAGTGTAGGAGGCCTCCCTCCTGTGTACTGATCCCCTTGTGCTGCAGCACAGGCCCTGTTTAAAAAAAAAAAAAAAGACTCGCTTTGATGTTCCTGTTAAAAATTGTCTTTAGTAGAACAAAACAGAAAAACTAGTTTTATGTTTATATGGATTATTATAAACTCAATAGAAATTATCAGCTAAAAACTTAGAACGTTCAGCTGAAGCATAATTGGGACTAAGTTCTGATGCATTTCCACACATTTTCCCTTTTTCTTTTCCTGTTTCCATATGAGACCATATGTTTCAGCTGTTATAGCTGAATACCTTCTTCACAGTGAATACCTCCACACAAAGCCAGGTTCAGTAAAGCAGAATTATCCCTGTGGCTCAGGCTGGGCTTGTGGCCATGTGGTTCTGCTGACCCAATAAATTGTAGGCCATAAATAATTCTATATTTTTGCCTTCCACTAAAAGCAGTTGCAAGCGACATTCTTAACTTCTTCCTTTAATGCTTTATAAAGTGCCCAGGCCTCTGAATTCTGAGTCCATGTCTGTATCCTGGGTACAATGTTATTTCTGGTGTTTTTTCAGTTTCTTCTTTATGCTCTCAGTGGTACTTATGTCCTGGTAAGCTTTTGGTTTACAAAATTATTCCCTCTGATATACTAACTAACTTTTCCATTTTAAACACAGCTCTTTGCTACAGAAGCTACATCAGACTGGCTGAATGCCAACAATGTCCCTGCCACCCCAGTGGCATGGCCATCTCAGGAAGGACAGAACCGCAGTCTCTCTTCCATCAGAAAGTAAGAGCTGGATCGATTGTTTTCTGAGCGGATCAACACAGAGAGAATTAATGTGTTGGCTAGCATGACATAAATGTTTAACCTCACTCAATTGCAAGTCGTTTAGAAGTCCTTTTAGCCAATCAATTTAACGATGAATTGTAGATGATAGAAATTGCTATTACTATAGAACACATACTACCACCTGGGTATGTGGTGTTATGGAAGCATCTTTAAAATACTTCCTGATAAAAAAACTTTCCTTGATAGACACAGTATAAGTATGAAGAATACAATATAGCACTGTATATTATGGATCAAACTTACACACGTAGTATACGATATATATAATATTGATCATCTGCAGTTCAATGAGGGTGGGCTTCAGTGGATCAGTGAATCCGTTATTTTACTGAGAACTTGCTGGATGTAGGAAACTGTGGAGCGTTATGGTAATGTCATTCACTGGATTACTTAAGTGGCCACTCCCTTATCGAGGTTTTTATTATGTCTCAGGCCATAGCACATTAGATTTTGTATCATTTCAGCACATTGTGTGAACCTTCTGGATCATTAGTACATCAACACTTGCAAAATATGTGGCATGAGTACCTTGTAGAGTGTTCTCAATTGTTACAAATTATCTGATGGCTATGTTGTGCCAAATTCTATGCAATGGACTCTGTGTTAAGGCTTTTGAGAAGCCCACCTATAAATCACATTCAGACTAATAAAAGAGCGGTATTAGGTACAGACCTTAGCAGACTCTTAAAGCCCCCTTGCTTTAGTGCTCTATAAAAACAATAAACAGCACTACTTCAAGCCTTTGACATTTAAATGTCTTTTAGTGTGTGTAGCAGCCTGGCTCAGAATCTGAAATGGTTTCATTGATGTGAGAATTAGGGGAGTTGAATTCTCCTATCACCAAGAAGTGCTAGAAAAAGAAGCAATGGAATAGATGTAATGCAAGGGTGCGATCATGATCATGGGGGGGTCTTCAATGAAGGAGACTTCATTTCTTTCTGAAAGAAACAAAGTAAATATCAAATTCCCAGTTCTTAGTGTGATCAGATACCCTTTTGGAGAGAAAACAGATTTTGGATCCATTGGCCAGCATTCTTTTGAGAACATAATAGAAATTATAATCCCAACATGAGAATAATCTGCAGATCTCGGGACTGGAACAGGGCAGGTGAGGTGACTTCAGGATGACATTGATTGAAATGGCTAAGAGAACAAACAATTTGTTAGTATTTTTTAAAACTATAATATACAAATCGTCACCTCCCTGGTGGGTACTTATTTACTTGTTTATTACAGATTGATGAAAGATGGCAGCATTGACCTAGTGATTAATCTTCCCAACAACAACACGAAGTTTGTCCATGACAATTATGTGATTCGCAGGACAGCCGTTGACAGTGGGGTTGCTCTCCTCACTAATTTTCAGGTATGATTTTTCCTTTCTGTTTAAGCTGCATGTGGGTTTCATTTCTGGGCATCCCAAGAAGGGTTGATCAGTGTATGCACATCTCTCTCTTCCCCTCCTGTAACATTTAGAATAGAGGGAAATTTGTGGTGCTTTTTACTTTTAATTTTTCTGAGGACACGTTTGCAATATACAATGATGGCATTTACATGGGGAATAGATACATGTATTTAACAAACCTCATTTCTTTTAGAGGAGGACTTTTTAATAGAACCTTCTAGTAATAACACTAACACCTACAGGTCATGACCTATATGGGACAGTTGGTGATCTAGCAATTGAGATAATCAAAGGCCATCAATAACCTTGGCTCTTCCATTACCCATTTGATTATACTTTGAATAAAAAGTGATAGTGTGGAGTGGAATGAAGATACAATCTTGTACAGTTCTGTTTCTAAATGAAAGACACCATATAAAAGCAACAGTTTAATAATTGAAGGTCCGATACAGTACAAGAGCTTATCCAATTCACAGAAAATGATTATATGAATTATGTTTAGTTTCATTCAAAATGAGCCACCAAATGTAATATGGGAGGATTCACAGATTTGAGACTTACTGATTTTTCTGTCCATCCTGTTTTTCCCTGAAGTCCATTTTAATCTCTATGGGGGAAGAGAAATAAGCTTATTCATGGTGAAGTCTGAGACAGGGGTGAAAGTCCCTACAAAATTAAAGAAAAAGTCTTTCATCCCATACCTCTTTGAAAACTGGGAGAAGATACTTGTGACTTTTCACTCCAGATTCCTTCAGCATTCACTTTCATCTTGTGTGGCTTGGTGAGATTCCTAACATTTTTCTTTGCAGGTGACCAAACTTTTTGCTGAGGCTATGCAGAAATCTCGCAACGTGGACTCCAAGAGTCTTTTCCACTACAGGCAGCGCAGCACTGGCAAAGCACCCTAAGAAGCCGACACCACAGTTCCATTCTCCAGTCATCCAGGCCATGTTTTATCAAAGGAACTGATTCCTCACTTCTTTTCCCGCAGATGAATATTGGTGTGAAGCTCATTGGATTCCACTCTATAGTACCTTATTCTGTATCTTTCACAGTTAATTGTCAGTCACTTTTGCAAAATCTTATTTAGAGTTCTTCCTACATAGCTTGTTCCTTAAGTGATTTTACCATGTATTAATGCTTTATATTGGGTGATTGAGGCTTATTTGTGGACACGGAGTTAACATTTTATGGTGCTGATTAATGATGATCAAGATAGAAATGCTGCCATTCTGTCTTCTGAACTCTCTGTGCTTTAAACATATTTTGCTATTGTTTTTAAGTAGTATCTGCCACACTGAGGACACATTAACAGGGCAGAGTACTATAAAATTTGGTAAAATGAAAGATAGATTTAATTTATAAACTTTTCCATTATGATGTTTGTATGTTGCTTTTGATAATCGTTCTCACCTATCTGAGAAGATCAGGTTTCATTCCATGATACCAGATTTGAAAAATATGATGAGATCTTTATAGATTTTTATACAGGATGCTTTTTTCCAAGTTTTTTTTTTTATGAGAATATGTTGGCAGATGGTAGAAAACGCTGAGTGACTGTAGGTTTGGTTTTTCCTTTGACTTTTATCTTGGGCCAAGTGAAGTCTTTAGCTATTTGTACCATTCACCTGCTTTGCTAATTTTGCCATAATTTAGTAATTTCCTACAGATGATAGATTTTGTTAATCTACAGAGTCCTACAGTGCACTATGAATTCCATACATGCTACATTCTTCTATGTTTCCAGAAAAGTACTTTCAGGGCAGCCTTTGTTGCTTTTAAATGTGTTGTGTTATTACAAGTGCTCTAATTGTGAACTTTTTAATAAAATAATATTGAAATAATTCAGTTGTGTTTCTCAGTTGATTTACTTAATACTGATATACAAAAGACAATTCATTTCTATGATGAAACAGGGTTGCAGACCATGATCACACTGTTTTGTCTCTCTCTCTCCCTCTCTCTCTCATCTATCTATCTATCTATCTATCTATCTATCTATCTATCTATCTATTATCTATCTGTCAATCAATCAAACAAACAATCAATCATCTATCATATATCTATTCATGTATCCACCTACCACTTGACTTCTGTATTTGTGGCACTGGGAATTGAACCCATGGCCTTCACACTGAGCTACATTCCTAGCTCGTTTTCATATTTTTATTTTGAGACAGTCTAGCTAAATTGCATGGGTTGGACTTGAACTTGTGATCGCATTGCCTCAACATCCTAGAGTACAGGTATAGGTTGTTCCACCATGCCTGGTGCATATTTAATTTCTTTATACAAACTCAGGATATTATCAAATTAATATTGAAAACAATAAAGCTTTAGCTATCGCATTTTTTTCTAATTCTATTCTTGTTCATGGGTCTCAGTATAAAGTTTATAATATGGTTATCTGATTAGAAAGGATTTGATCTGAATCCTTTCTAATACATAGCTATGACATATATATATATATATTTATATATATATATGCTTTGAAACAGGTGCATTATGTAACACAAAGAAAAGTAACTGAATCCAATTAGTAGCTGACCCATATTATTTGATGGAGATAGTGTCAATAAGCAAAGTGATGCCATATTCTAGATTTATTCCCCCAAATTTGGCTTTGTGAAGGTCCTACAGTAAGGATGCCATGATAGATTTTATTCCTTTACTCTCACCACAGAACCTATTGGTTACCATTTTATATTGCTCTATCTAAAAGTGTTTCAAATTAATTTTCTCTTTCTTTACTCTGTTACCAATGTGGATGACACATTCAATACTGCTTCCCTGTAATCTTATAATCATGAAATTGATGATACTTCATTCATTTGCCTGAAATAGTTAATAAATTCCTTAAATCCTTTGTCTAGTACATCCATGATCCTTCTTACTCTTGTTATTTTACCACTTTTCTGTTAATATTCTGCTCACAAATATCACTATCATCGCCACAACTACCAAAATAGCTAACATGATGCTGTTAGCATCATGTTAAATAGCTAACATGATGCTGTATCTCCTGTTTCCCAGGTGATTCTGAGCACTTTACATGATTTAACCCACTTAGTCCTCAAATGTCCCCATGAGCAGTGTTATCTCTATATTATAAACAAGGAAATTTAGCCTTGGTAGTTAAGTAACATACCCAAGGTCACACAAAATACAATCTCATTGTTTTAGAAATTCTGTTCTGCTATGACAGCCATATGAAATCATTTCTCATGGTAGAGAAACACTTGATTTGCTTTTAGAGATTAAGGGAAGATATTTTGAGTAGATGACTTAATATATCATTTGAAGCAACGTCATATAGTTCCCAAGGCAGACTACAGAGGAGATCCCTCATTTAAGATTATGAGTAATTTCATCTGATTAGGGTATGAGGTATGCATTAAGATAAGGGCTGGAGACACAAATTGAGGTAATGGCATATTTAACAATGTAGAAGCTTTAAAACTTTTTATTTGGAATTATTTTTGGATTTAACTCATTTTAACTCATTTGCTTTATATCATACATTATCAATCTGTATATCTATCTGTCTATGTTACTATGGGGCTTGCTATTTTGGTAACAAAATGCCAAAGGTAGGCTAATTTTACAAGGAAAAGAAGTTTATTTAACTCATAGTTCTTAAAGTTCAAGGCCAAGGTGTTGAAATCAGGTTGGTTCTGCTAGGGACCTCATGCTGTGAAGGTGAGAAGGTGTGAGGGAGAGATTACACTGCCAAACAGAAAGACAGAGAAAGACGTAAGGTTGGGTTCAAACTTTTATAAAGTCCCGTTCTTTGAGAAGTAACCAGAGCATCATTGGAAATATCTTTCTCCCAAGGGTTCATTCTCACTAATCCAAGTACTTATCACAATCCATGCCCTTTAAAGATCCACACCGTTTCCCCCACCATTACCCTAGGGGCCAAATTGCCAATATTTGAATCTTTTAGAGGAACTCAACTAAACCATATCCATACCATAGTACTATATCTTACGCATCCCTGTGTCTCTCTGTCATCTAAACCCATATTTGCAGGTATGAAAACACACAGGAAGAAGATAGAGATCCTCTAACCACAGTGAGTAGGCTGTTACTGACTGATTTAGAAGTGTAGTTTGAAATAACTACTACAAATTTGCATAATACTTAATTTTTGTGTCGTGGCAATTTACAAGAGGTTCCTAATTTTATGTTGATTTGAATATGTTATTAGTAAAAGGCAGTAAAATTAGAAGAGTAATAATAATTAATCAGGCAACATTGTTTGTAAATAAATTTTATTTTGTGTTGGTGAAACAATCCTTGAAGTCAGCAGAGCAGACTCACTCTGTCCATGGTGCTAAAATGGAAATACATTAATTTTTGTTTTTGTTCCCTTTCTGTTTTTAGATGTTCCACACTTTAAAAAGAGTGAAATACAAAATGAATAAAACATCTAAGGCTTTTGGTTGGAGGAGAGAAATTTAAGAAAGTGAAATCATATTTGTGTTCAGATTTAGCAATGCTGTGCCTTTTTAGAATGCATTTATGTTTTTCACATAAAATTTAACACATTTTTAAATGTCTATATTTGCTATACATCACAAGTGCAGACAACATGCTTCTAAAGCTGGTAAATCAAAGTAGCTTTTTCCACATACAGAGTCTAATAGCATGTGTGAGGGATGAGTTGTACAGGTTGGGGAGAAAACCTCAGCCAGTTCGTGGAATGAATGAAGAACAGAAAGAACATTTATAGACTTAGGGTTTTATAGCTTTGGAAAGGTAAGTAAAATATTTTAAATGTACTTTCTGTCAAACTTTCCTCTTAAGCAGAGTTCCTGCTGGAAACTTTTTAAAACATCTACAATATTCATTTATCTGAACAGCTGCAGGTACTTGAACCTTAGCTGTCCGCAGCCTCTTGAACAATGCGAGTGGAAATTATCAGAGAAACAAACCCTGTCTGAATGCAGTTAAGTGCTCCATAATTACACACCAGCATTACCGTTTGGCTGCTGGTGTGGCCCCCTGTGGACACAGGTGCCATAAATGCTCTCACACACCTAATCAAACCCAAAAGACCTCTCATTATATGTCATTCGAGACACCCTCAGCTTGAAAAAAAGACTAGTTCAACTTTATATTTCTCTCCTTTCTTTCCCTTACCATTTCTTTGCTTTGTTCTTATATATAAAAATTCATTTTTCCTGACAACTGTTACCGTTCTATTTTATGCAAAGCTGCTGCAGTTGGTAAGCGAGAAGGTAATGTGGCGGGAGGAAGAATGTCTGTGCTCCCTCAAGTGCTCTGTGGGCTCTGTGAAACATTGGTAATAATTGTCTCTACTTCTTCTCCTGTGCATAATGTCGGCTGCAAGAGCGCCAGGAAGAGAATTTAAGTACCTACAGCTGTTGAGATCAACGCAGCAGTGGAAAAAAACATTTCAGCAAGTCAAAATGAGTACCATTTGTGCATGCTTTTTGTTGCTTAAAGATCATTTTGAGTGTTTATAACTTTTGTTTTGTGAAAGACTTGCATCCAGAAAAAATTATTAATTTCTTACCAAGACAAAAATATATGGGATTTTTCATCAGTAAAGGTCCATTTTTCTGAAAGTAGCAGCCTGCTGAGTCATTTCTTTAAGGTATTCCTTAGGAGAAACACAAGCCACAGAGAGAAACTTATTCATCAAAGGAAGCAATGCCAGCCATGTCAACAAAAGTTCAAGATATTTGTGTCTTCTAAAGACCCTTTTCTACACCAAGCTTAATGCTGTGGGCAGCATAACGAACATATGCAAAAAAAGGGGGAGAATCAAAGTTTAAAATGCCTTATTCACAGAGAAAAATAACTTGAAAGTTTCATTTTGCTAATTAGGGATGCATCCAAATACAAAGTGCCCAGAGAGAAATGTTTCCCTTTCCGAAACTCAGAGTGTTAAGCGATGTCTTTGGTAGTATCTTGAAGGTTGAAATGATTTATTATACTATAATGTTTACTTAAATTCTCTATTGATGAGAACGTACGTGTGGGTAATTATTTTTGTTTGTTAAAGATTTCTTTTTAATGTATCTTTTTTACTAGTGCATTTTTTATTTAGAGAAAAAATCAAAATGAAAAGGGTAGAAATAATACAGAATTTCAAAAAAAGTAAAAAATCACTAGTTGATAAATCACATATTGATATCTTAGAAGTAGTTCATCAAACAGAATGGTTGGTACTGTCATTGTTAGATTGTCTACTAGTGCATCTTTATGTTTTTAAAAAAAATTTTTTGGGGGGGCTGGAGATTTAGCTCAGCGGCATAAGCGCCTGCCTTGCAAGCAGGCAGTCGTGAGTTCAATCCCTGGTACCCATAAAAAGGAAAAAGACAAAAAAAAAATTTTTTTTTTCTTATTGTTACTGAGGATTGAACTTATGACAGCGCGCTTTGCAAGGCAGGCACTTATGCCACTGAGCTAAATCCCCAGCCCCTACTAGTGCATTTTTGAGCTGTATGATAAATGCATTCCCTGTGGGGAACTGGTGTGTAAACATCACAATTGGTCCTATTTCCTTCCACTTCCCCTTCCCGCCTCCTGTCTTAGCTCATTCCCAGGTTCCCTTCCCAACTCTTCAAAGCCTTTTGCTCTGTTTGCTATCATCCACTTTGTATTCTACTCTTTAAATTATTTATGCTTTGATTCCTCACACCAGAAAACCATGTGATAGTCTACATATTGTGAATGATTTATTCCACTTAGCATTATGCTCTCAAAATCCATCCATTTCCCTAATAAATGATTTAAATTTATTACCTTTATGTTGGAATAGTCTATATCTATAATATGATGGCATCTGTAATATGATGGCATTAGTCTTTCA